GCTGTATTCCATTGAAATTAATGCGTTTTATCTAACAATTGACAATTTTTTATCATTATAAAGCTATCCTATTGAAAAAGATAGACATAATTTGTAGAAAGCAAAGTTGATTGGAAGAGAAAGTGAATTATTTTTTCCTTATCATGACAGTCTGCTGTTTATACTGTAGAACTAGTATATACCGGTTCCTATTTACTATTTTTCTTGTGTACTGTATTGTCCAATTTTTAGCTGACTAATAAAGAAAAGAAATAATGTAAATGCTTGAAATTTGCTATAGTGCACATTTTCACCTCATTGGTGCCTTTGGTCATAACGATGGGCCTCAAGGTAGGCATTGAAATAATTCAATCAATTGATTCATTGGTGTGATTAAGGCTCCTCACAAATTTGAGATGATTATGCTATATCATCTAATGCATTAAAATCTCCTATTGGCTAATATATTGATAACGTAATTAATAAACTACTTACCTATTTGACTCTATTTACTTGTATATGGACATTATTAAATAACTGCTGTGCAGAGTGGAAAAATTATCAGAATAATTAATGCTTCGTACTTTTTTTGTTGAGTTTACAACCTGTCAATCAAGTGCTTCTTTTATCACTAATTTTAGCTAAATAAAGTAATTGACATACATCTTGGTGTACAATAATGCAGTATACTTGTACATATTTGTCTAGTCTCGATTGCTTATTTACATTCTAATCTTTTTATTGGAGGTATTTTTCCAATCCAAATACCCTACAGTTATATTATTGAATTTCTTTCTTTAATGGATTTGGCATGATAGCGACTAAGCCATGCATAATGTATTCTAGTTTTATCTTTGAAAATATCTAAAATTAACTTTTGTATCTACTCTGAATGCCAATGCACTTCTATAATTAAGTTTTTTTCCATGAAGACCCAAATAGCTATTACATAAAGATGGTAGTTTCTAATATTGTTATCTCCATTTGAACTTTACTGTCACCACTATAGTCTTCAACTTACACGATTGCTACTACGGGAGAGGAAATTTAGCTTAATTTTACGCAGTAATAATCATAATATTTGTTTACAGTCAAATTACCAATTACACAGTGACGGTGATAAGTAAAGCTCTTATTTTACAAGCTATAATAATTAGAAATATCTATATGTTTATTTTTATATTGAAGGTAAATAAAATACATAACATTTTACTGATCATTGATTGAATAGAATCAAATGTTAATGTGTGTATGATTGTTTTTTTAGCTAGTAATTACTACGTCAGCAAACTAAAATACCTGAAAATAATCATTCTTTTTGCTGTGTGATTAATCTATTAATAATTATAATTGGTATAATGAATTATATTAATAGTTGAGGCAGTACAGTATTTGCAAGTCTTCGTTTCATATACTCGTATTCTTACCTGTACGGCTAGGTGTTATATTTCACAACAATTAACATTTGGAGTTAAATAAGATTAATTTAAATCATAATTGACATACTAGTAAGGTCGATTGCTTAATAACAACATAGCAAATTCAACAATGTTATTAATGCTGTTATAATTAAGGTTAAAAATATAGCCTATAATTAAGGAACTATTGTTAAAATATGAAAATTATCGTGTATTGAAGCATGACGTAAAATGTAGACTAAATTGATAGATTAGTGTTACGTAAAAATAATATATCTCAGTTTTTTTTATTAGTAATTCAGCTATCATCCGTGACGCGATTTATTAATAAATGACCTCATTTAAATTGCTGTAGTAAACTCAGTAAATCATTGTTCAATGATTATTAATTTGCTGGAACATGCATTAAGTTTATTCAATCATGAAGATGCTCAGGTCAATAAAAAGTTTAACCACTTTTACTTGATATTAGGTTGCCATTGGAGATAGTATGGAATATTGATAGTGTCATTTATGAAGGTAACTAAGTATTAGAAACTTTTTTAATTGTTACTTAAGTGAGAATTCTTGGAGGTAAATAGCGTGGATGCAGCTTTGCGCTCATGAATTCCGGTCGTCATCATTTAAAATAAGTTATCGTGCTGTAAATTAATTTGACTTATAAATTGATGTTTTAATTGTTACTGTTTTTTCTTGCGTCAATACTATCCAAGATGAATGAATTTTTTTATTATATATCTGTATTTGTATATAAATATAAGTTACATTCCAGCCAGAATAAAGCACGGCTTTGTTATATTATAATATACAATTAAAAGATATTATTATGGTATTGTCGATTGCACATGCAAGCTGAAATATTTAAAATGGAATTTAAATGTATATATATTGTTATAATAAATAAACGTACGCATTTAAATTTAGACAAAAAATATACTATATAGGCTAACTGTTTGCAATAGTAATTTATTGACTTTTACCTTTGTCAAGTATGAATATTTTTATGATCGTTTGCAGCCATCAGTTGTTTAATTTTATTAGGCAATGTTAGTTATCACAATTGATTAATACATTAATTACTATTGAAAGTATACTTGTAGCAAACAATCAAACAATAATTAAAATTAGAAAATAAATTCATGCAATAATAGTTATGATGAGGTATCCTAATGTGTTATTTGACAAGATTGCTGTTAGCTATACTTTATTTATTAATTCCGATACAAGAAAGATGAATCTATTCGTAAAAATATAAATATACAATAAAATAAGATAAAATGGACGTTAATTGCTAAACATGAACAATTTGCTAAAACGTAAGATGATAGATAGTTTACATGAATATCCGATAGTTGAAAGATAGCATTCATAACTCATATCCTAACTTTGGTAGAAAAAATTAAAATTTCTCTTATTTTATAAAATCAACCGACTGTAAAGTGTAAAATTACGTAGATTACAGAATTCGTTTTCAATAAAGGATGACTGTGTCATTGCACTTTGATCTCATCGTCATTCTCATTGGATGATGTCATTATTATGAGAATCTATATTTTTCTATTCATTTTTTCTACAATAATTGAGAAGATCGTGAAGGATATACTGTTTTAAGGTTGATTTTGAATCTCCTTCTTAAAAAGGAATTCTATTGTACTAATTATTTCACTCTAACAACAATATGCATCACTCAACTGAGGACAATATGCTTCCTTTAAAAGATACGATCTTACCTCTCTTAATGCATTCGTAATATGATTTAATGTAACGCAATGTAATGTCTACTAAAATATAAAATGGATCAACGCCGATGCCTCCTAGACAGTAGTTTTTATTCTGATTTATCTGACAATAATTCTATTTCAAGGATAGCTTTGTCATTCGTTTTATATTATCAACAAAGATGATGATATGATTAAGTTTGGGATTTTGGCCCTACATGCTCGATCTGTTTCTAGTACCGGATGTACTCGAAAGCTATCATGACGGGATGAAGTAGTAAGTTCTCAAATTTTATTCTCCCTTGATTTTGCTGACGTACAGCACAGAAAAAATAAAAAAATGAGAATATCTGCTAAAGGAGTAAGTCAAAGAAGCTGATAAACCTTTCTAAGGTATTTGTATAAAATCATCGTTGACATATAGGCTACTGTAATCTGTTTCTGTTCGGCTAGACAGCAGAGGGTAAAAGCTGATACAGGAATGATGCTTATTAATTCATTTTTGTAGTCAATGGATACCGGTAGAATTCATTTTTATGACTATAAAACTTCAATTATTTTATTGCTTGGTATTGAAGAGAATAAAATAAGAAAAAAATGTCAAAGTTTAGTTCGACATGATGTCGATGAAAATTATTGACTTATTTATCCTTTTCGTACAATAATAATAATAAACATCTAATACAAATTGTAATATACAAAGTAGCTCTAGAATAATATGCCATTGTAAATTATATTTTAATAAAGTTAATACGTATAGACATTGGATGTTAAATCCTAAATTTGTTATTGGTTTCAATCTGTATACCTTATTTGATAGATAGAATCAACACTAATAATGTAAGAATTGGTTTAAAAAACAATTTCCATTTTAGTAATTATTAAAAAATATAGATCAAAATAGCCTGATAGTCAAGACAGTATAAAATTGGAAATCAGTTTTACCATATTCTATAAATATAATTATCTATCACGTTATCGATCTCTCTTGTGCAGTTATTTTAGAGATGAAATTCTCTTAATTTAGTTAAATTAGGAAATTAGGTACTGTGGACGAACTTGTTTTATTAATATCATTCCAATGCTTGACTTCATAGTTAACTTACTCAAGTAAAACGAAAAAATTCTTGTTTTCGCCACATGACCGGATGCCTAATTGAATACAAATCTTAACTCAAACTGGGAAATGCTTGATGACATCCATATATAAGTTTTAATAAGTATCTCAGTAAGTTAATTAGAGAATTGAAATATTCAACCTAGACGGTGAATACAGTAATTTTCTAGACGGTGAATACAGTAATTTTAAGAAGGTAATAATTGACATGTCTAGTTTGCTATATATGTAAACTCATTGACTTCCGTGGTTATTTACAATTGCCAATTTTGTAACAAAAATCAATTCATAACTTGTCGATTAAGTAGTCACCTGGTGTATATTTATTCTATTTGCACCTGCTCCATGTCTCTATATAATACGCTTAAGTTGAGGAGAAACGTTATTTTACGTTCAGTTCGTCTGGAAATTCAGAAGTAGCCTATATTTGTAAGTAAACATTCGTCAAGTTAAAAAGAATTTTAATTGACGACTACTATATACAGATACTTTAACTAATGAGCGCATTTGTTCTGACTATATTAATGCAATTTTCACGATCACTATATGGACATGAAATTTTCATTCTGTTGGAATATGCTAGTATCGAATTACGATAGGAAGTTATTATAGTTAAAAGGTTATTTTTTCTCCTCTTTTCTTACTTTAATACTATCTGCTTTTAAGGTTTAATCTGGTCCATACACCACCGATAGAGCTCTCCAGCTTGACAATCTAGAGAATAAATTGATTTTAATTGAAGAGTTAAAACGACAAATTACTACAACTATGAATTGTTCCACTTTTAAGGTAAAGTCTTTGATTAATGTGATTAGGCTTTCTAATTAAGACTCACGATGTGCATAAGAAAATGGATACCACATGTGGTGCTTAAAGTTGATGTTGGCTTTTATGAATTCATTTCTTGTTCATTTTGAAAAATGTTTTTTGTCTTTCTAGGTAGCTATTGTAGCATTAGTAGCTCTTTCTGGCATTTGCTATTCATATCCGCGACACACGGGTAATTTGATTTCTGAAGAGCATGGCATAGAGGCAAATAATCCGTCTAGTTTTGATGAAGAGAAAAATATTTTAGAAGAACAGGAAGGGTCTCCACGCCGATTAGATTTGCCTGATTCGGAAGATAGTGGCACCGTCAAGCAATCGGCTCGTTATGGTAAAATCTTACAAGGAGCTTGCCAGGTAGTAGAGCAAGATCACTTATGTCCTTACAACTTCGATAAAGATGAGCAACTATCAGGTGGTGAAAGTGTATTTTACACTGCTATACCAGAGCGCTGTGTCGTATGCGATTACAAAAATTGTTGCCCCGACACTATTAAAACTTGCGTAGCCCATGAAGGATATAAAAGCATTTCCTATAGCTTGTTAAGAGCCGGTCAAAAGTTACCTTTCAAACGAACACAGAAGAATCGCATTGGATGTGGCTGTATGAATGGGATACCCGAAGAACGTGCTGCTGCATCACCCACTAATAGAACTCAATCGGAAACTTCAAGACGCCATTAGATACTTAGTATCAGGTCAAAAATCTTACGGGTAATCAAATGAATTATTTGGTTACTTCACGACACTTTCTGTTTCAATACTTAGTGATCATTAAATAATAATAATATGCATAAAAATATTATGTTATATATCTAATTATTGCTAAAACAAGTCTTCCTAGTTCTCTTATCATCTTTAATCCGCAATTATTATAAATAATGATCTATTCAATAACTTAATATCAACCCTACTAGATAGATGAATGGATATACAGATCCAAAATAGAAACCAGTCATATAGAAAGAGATATATATTAATAGCAAAATTTATTGATGATCCCCTGTACAACTTTATTATTAAGAATGTGTAAATGACGACAAAACAGATTTAACTAAAGTAAAAATTAAATTATGGTGGTATTGCCTGCACAAACCCCCTATCATTGTTTCGGTCAAGCTTATAATACGGTTTTGATCGAGACTAATATTGTACCATATAGGCATCTTAAAAATAAACATCAATTTGTCTTAATTGATCTATTGCCTCCAAAGCAAATTAATTTCGGTTAAATTCATTCTGTAATTCTATGAATCGTTTGATGCTAGCAAATAAAAGTATGTATTCATCATATAAATGATTTGTAAAAGTTTATTTTGAAAACAAATCTTAGGGTGTGCTAATAATTTCAATAATCTTTTAACATTTTCCTTCATAACCAGTAGATTCGATCGAAAATTGACTATAGCATAGTTATTTCTGTAGATGTTACAGAATAGGTTTTACCGCAATAGAGTGTTTTTACTGAATAACTATAAATTACTGGATTTAACGCATTAATTTACAACATTTCAAGATAAAATGCACAATCAGTGTAAAGATCTGCCTACCAGTAGATTCTGTCCGGTATCGATAAAGAAATATTTTACGGCACAATGGCCAAAATAATTATAATATGCAGTCGATTGGAGTGTATTATGCATTTAGTTCTCTTTAATTAACGTACCGTAAAATGGTTGAGTGCATACTGAGAAGCAAACATCTCCATATTCCGGCCTGATTGAAATATTTTGCAAAATACTGTGTAAATATGATATATTATAGAAGATGAGACGTATAACAGTACGATACTTATTGGCATTTTCATAGAAGTCCACGGTATAAAATAGTAGAAAATTACTGTAGTAGAAACAGTTCCTTTTAACTCTGAGGCCACACAAGATTGGCAACGTACCGTAGTCGATATCCGAAGTTATATGGTATATAGTGTAACAGATGATATGGCCAAGAGCCAGCAGGGCGCATCGATAACCACTTTAAGAATTAGAAGAAAATTCTAGCGTCGTATGCCTTCCTTGCTCCTAAATTAAAGTTGACTTTGTTACAAGTAAGTAACGTGGTAATTGTCTATTCAATCTAATCGGAAAATTTTCGCAACCATTGTCCGCCATTCTTAGTTACTAATTTTTTTTTAGAATGAAAAAAAACAAAGAGAGTATAAGCTTAACTTACTTCTGAGTGATTCATTAGTAAATTGGATCCTATTCGGTTTAATAAGCCCAGGACATCTAGTTGGTGAAATGGCATTAACTCGGAGATGACTCTTGTCGATACGGTATTAAAATCCCATTTTTGAATGACTTAACTGCAGAACTCACCACAAATGGCTAATAACGACTTTGTATGCAATTAACTATTCTAATTAATTTAATCTTCAACTACAACAACGGACCATTTGCTTGTACTATGTATATTTAAGATTAAAGGAAAGATGCCAGAATAATATTTAATCTACTAAAAGAATTTTTCTCTGATGTTTAGATTTCATCCTGAAAAATGATGATTCATCATAGTAGTTTTATCGAATCAAAATAAGTACCAGTAATTTCACTCAACTTGCTATCAGACTTAATTTATCCAATCATTGATAGACGTATTTGTAGCACAAGAGATTTAGATATACTTCTACTGCACAATTGATTGTAATGGGCTCAAGTTCTCTTCAAGGGTAGGCAGTAGTATAGTCTATAATGCTGCCATGAAATAGAATATTTAAAGAGCGCTAGTACTTTTGGAAAAGGTTACGTCAGTCAATTGTACAAGAGGGTGAAAAGGTATTAATTAAAAATACTTTCTGCTGCACTAATATTCGTGAGTCTTTGATTTAATTAAAGTATCTATCAAAGTACCATAAGGAACTACTCAGAAAGTAAGTTTTCTATAGCAAACTCTACTGGTGTAGAGAATATTAATGGAATTGATTTAACATGCCTAAGTACGCGTTAAGGTATAATAGGAACTTTTTATAAGTGCATCTTTAGACCGAATAATATTCGTTGATTTAGTTTTAAAGAAGAGTATCTGCATTACAGCGAGTACATTAATATATAGTATGAAACTCCTACGTTGTTTTTACTTAAAAGACAGCCTGTCACACATAGTCTGTCGTTTTCATCCTTTTAAAGTAATTTTCGTCTGGACAGTTTGTCGACGCTTTCGTGACGACTAGCGATATGTGGGCAGATTATATGTATACTGTATTAGTAAGTTCGCCCTAATGTAAGAATAAGGATCAACTACTGTAGTAGGTTCTAGGCGCAATAAATTGTCCGTTTCGATATGTTCACGGCTAAGTGCGAGTTAACGCCTCCAGAACGCTTTTATAGTACTGCACTGTAGGTCTGCTTCGTTGAATGAATACGTTAAATGATCTATATTTTTCTCTTATGCCATAAAATGCTTAAATCATTGGCTTAGCAGTTTTAAATGTTAGCATCTGAAGTCCATGGCCTGGGCGGGATTTATCTAAAAAACCGTACTTAAAGGAACGGCTGTACAGAAATAGAGTCCTGGTAAGGTATTAATGATGTCGTCATATGTAGTTTTCTTCTACTTTTTGACGGTACTTACAAACATTCAAGGAGTTAGTGTAAGAGGCACGAGCAAAATACTTTTCCTTTTAATCAGTTGAAATCTTTTAATCACTTGATATAAAGTAATATTTCATTTAATAAGAAGTGAAATTTATTGCCATTATGGCAATGTATAAATTGGTGTAGGTTATTTAACATTTTCATCTTACCTTTCCAGTATTACAACCGAAAAGTAATGATCTACTCGTAGAGCATCGTCCAGATATGGAAATCTCTATGTTGATAATGAGTTGCAATATGTACTATTTCTATCCCTATTATTATGGAAAGGTCAGTTGATCAATTATCTCCCAATTTGAGCAGATACAAACAGTTTTACTACTTAATTTTAGTGTTCAATATTACAGTATTGAAATTTAGACAACGTAATTGGTGCACAGCTAGACCTTAGATTGCATTCCCGCCTAAAAAAGTCAACCTTTTATATCCTTCATTACAACATGTTGACAAATACGTTAGCCAAATTATCCTTCCTAATCTTAAGACGAAGTCTAATTCAGCCTATAGATTTTCTTACCTAATTCCGCATTTACTATGGCTCTTCCGAGTGAGTGACCCTAAGCCCGGCATGATTGCCATCTCTCACTCTAAGCCAATCATACTCTAGTTACTGAGACATGTTGATGCCGCCTACGAGCTTTTAAATTCACTTTTAACTTAAAAAGTCTTACAATTAATTAATAATTAATTCATACATTAGCAGTGACAATGATAGTGTAAAGTAAAAGGTACAAGTTCAGTACACGAAGTAGAGCGAGCGAAGGATCGACTAGAACTATTACGTATGAGAATAATACGACAGTGGTTATAGTACAGTGCAAAAAATCGTCGAGTAGTCGCTATTTTAGGCAGAGTGAACTAGCTTAGTGCTCCTTAATTTACACTAAATTAGACTTGTAGAACGGCTTGTATTGACATTTCGAAAGTGCTAAGAGTAGTACAGTATTTTGCGATGACACAGAACACAGGAAGGTTAGGATTTTCAAGGGTTAGAAAGACATACTGTACTGTAGATTCTACAGACACTCTGCAGAACAATCAATCGTTGTGGGCAAGCTATCAGAATCGGGAGTTTCTAAAAAGGCAGTGAGGGTTGGGGATCTATACAGTGACTACTAAAAATAGGAGAAAACCTAGCAGTCACGGCTCTACGTAGGCATGATCGATTGGTCATGGACTATTAAAGTGGATCATTTAGTAGTCGATGACATGGTTAAGACTTTCAAAGTTTCAAAATGTTACGTGCAGTAGATTAATAATATAATACCTGTGACATAGAATACAGCAAAAGCACGACAGCATTAGTACTGTACTAGCTACAGGGCGTTGCAACGCCGGGGAGATTTGAAAAGCAGAGAGGGTTGCGGATTAATGATCCTGCGGTAATTTGCATCCTTTAAAATAATACGTATACATTACTTTGCACTTAACGTGCGACAGTCAGTATACAGTGTCGCTCTAAAGTGAGGTACAAGAAGGGTAGCCAAAAACAAGGACTACATAAAAATACATAAAATTAACCTAGTAGTTGCCATGCAGTAAAATAGGAAAGTAATATATACTGTACCAGTACTGAAGCCTATAGATTAATTGTAATTATCTACTAAAGGATAGATCAGCAGAAAGGATTATGCATTAGAACTTCGAATTCAAAATGTCCTATTACAGTATAATTACTGATGATAATAGAGTCAGCTGGCTTAGCGACCAGCGTGATGGTTGAGTCTTATCTCTTGTTTTCTATTAACAGATCTCTTTAATTTGCGTAAGTAGATACCTGATTGGAGTATAATCGCTCTTAATTTTAATTATATACATTTAGGTCTACCACATCTTTCAAATGACTAAATTCTTCATACCATACTGTTGTTAGGTAGCAGGCATCGCTTTATACGAGCATTGCTAATAGTTTTAAAAGTCTACTAAATTAAGCTGTGCACACATGGGAATACGTCATGAACTGCAATAAGAGTTAACTGAAGAGATGATCACTATATTAAGAAATTAGTTGCAGATACGAGTTACTAGAAAATGTGAAAGACAGTGCTTACAATTAATTAAAATAAAATGATTAGGGATCAACGCTGATCCATGACCATGTCCAGATTTAATTTAATTAAATTTTAAATTACGAATAAAACTAGATAGAAAAGAAATTATTGCAAACCCTAAACACACATTAGGTCATTAAGTGAATATAAGCTTTTGTCTATTTTGAATTATAACAAAATTTTAGCGTTATTACAAAAATTTAGAAATACGAATTCAACGCTAATCAAGTCTTAATAAAACAAATACAGTATGTAGTAGTATATAATTACAGTGAATCATGTACGTAGTTGATTTGAGTGCTAAGTGCTAAGTCATATGAAATCAAATCTGACTTTCATAGTGGTATCGAATTATCTTCTTTTGGGGATTTGATGTTACGGTAGGGTTATTGAAATTGCTGGCAGGTGGCCATGCTTCTTCGATAAGGCTACTTTCTAATTGCTCAAATTTTTTCGGCCTTCTACGTGTACATTTAATGCAAGACCAAAACGGCCTCCAATAGGGAGCCGTAATCAAGAATTCCTAGTTCAAATTTGAAGTATATTACTTAAATAAACAACATCTATGACTGCTGCCTTTTATGCCAGCCAACAATTTTGCGTAAGACGCTTAATTGTACTGCAATATAAGCCTACCTCCAGTAGAAAACAAACGCAAAAATACGCAATACCCAATAGGATTAGGCATACTTTGAAGGTTATATCAGTAATGGCTTTTAGCTATAATATAAAATTGTGTTAGAATTCAATTTTTTATGTACGATTGTCATTAGATCGTCATGACCTTATAAATTTATTGTAGTAATGATAACGACAGTTTATTACAGACCAGCTCACACACTGTAATATAATTATATCCACCCGTGATTCGACTAAAATAAACTTATAATTGTAATGGAGTATTAATCTTGATAAGTAGTTCAAGACTGAAAAATATCAAAATACCACTACGCGTATTTTTATAGTAAAATTGCTTGCTTATTGGCAGCAAAGATATGAGATTATTGGCAAAAGGCAGATTTAACAATTGCCTTATAGCAACAGTTGCAAAATATAGCAATTACAATAGATAAATTAGTTTAGTACCTCGAACGTGACAGAGGCACTGCCAGGGTGAAGGATGAATACTGTAGCAATGGCCAGTAGGCTTATCAACACGAATAAATAAGCCCCTAGATGAAGGTGGTTATCAAAATAGTGCGTCCATTTAAGCTTACTTATTGAATTTCGGTAGAATGATTACAGTATATTGTATATGATGTTAGGCATAATACTCATGAATATTAAATAAGATACGAATGCTTACAATTAGTGTAAATTCTTTTACGAAACGGAGGACCTTTAGAAAAGACAACAGCTATCCATATATACTGATAGTTAGTGAAATAAAATAACGTTGTCGTTTCGTAGCATTGAACATACGTTGAACCATTAACCGTATCCACATTTTCTACGTACCTAAAATTGTTTCATTTATGGAAGGTTAACGTTAGATATCGTTAAATGATGCAAGTTATAGTATACTATATAATTGCTTTCGATTAAGCTGATTAAAGACTGTGTACCATGGCTGTGATGCTAAGTAGAAGTAAACCAAAGTTTGGCTTGCAACAGTAACTATGACATGGGCGAAAAGCGAAGATAAGGTTTCAAAGCTGGTTAGCGAACTGTTTGGACGTTGTTTTGATATCAACGGAAATGCTTCAGTTCTACTCACTAAAATTAAGCAATATTTTGGCATTAGCAGAGCATATCTTGATTTGAATCCCATCATATCGATGAGGCATGCATGAAATGTGGCGAATGTTCCAATACTAAAAGCATCATACTATACATAGAGCTACAATAAGTTGTCTATGAAGATACTATTACCACTGCTATAGTAGCCAATTATACTTACTGACGAGTGCAATGGAAAGAATAATGAATAAATCAATGAACAGGAACTGGAAGTCCCCAAGGTTAGCAACGTACTAATAAAATTGAAAAGGTCCAGTAATTAGCATTATTAAAGTAAAAGGATTCGACTGATGCTTAATTATTACCCAGTATAAAATCATCACTGTTGTAAACTGTATGATGCTATACAAAGCCATGTATTTGAACACGCCAAAAGCGGTTATTAATGCAGCGCGACCTTCCCTAAAAGTATCAATTAATGTTTTCCACTTAGTGACTTTAAACTTCTAAAACTCTGAGAACTTTTGAATAATGATAACAGATTACAATCAACCGGACGTAAATATATGTCTTAAATGCTAACTAGTCTTACACAGTAGGTTTACCTAATCAGTGTAGAAACGCATGAAATATTGGGAACCTAGAATTATGAAATGTCAAATTTAGTTCAGAAGAGTAAGAATATTGTGTTACAGTATACAGAATCACATTATAGGAATAACTTGGAAAGTAGCGACAAGTATTTCATACTTTCGAGGTAAATGGTGATGCTACGGAAGCCTCAGCCTCCGAAAGGGATATTCCGGCATGAGCAGTATTTAAAGCCTAAGTCGAATTAATTACATATGACGTTATTCTTTAATATCTTTAAAGTACGAATTTATTAGTATTTTCTAACTCCGCAATCATTAGCTCCATCGCCGCACATTCCAACGTAGTATCTTAAATTTAAGTGGAGAATTACGTTAACAATAGATTTCCAACGAGACTCCGTCAGAGCAAAATTTATTATCATACCGGAATATCATAAATCCATAACTGTTAGTTACCCTAGATTTTGGAAGCCTTCTACAAGTTCAGCTTTCTGTTTTGGTGATGTTCGAGCAAAAATAGTTCCTTGAATAAGCACCTGACCAACATTAAAGAAGATGCATGTGAAGAGCGTGATATGATAGATAAATAACAATAATATCCGTGTTGCTTAGCTGACCTTTTCAAGCATATTTGGTAAATATTTTTGAATTACTGAAACAGTGTCACCAGTACATGCGATCCGATCGCTTGTAGGGCGATAATATTGGGCACTTGAAAGAACCTAGAATTAATTTACAGTTACTATACAATTGCTACTATTGTCACTATCTTTCAACTATGAATTAACTACTATCATATTTTATGGAAATCTTTACCGGTGCATTCCCACTTTTCTTTAAGAGATTCCATGTGACAGTTGGTTCAGTTTGAGAGGTCGTAGGTTCTTTAGCAATTAAATGTACAACATTTTCATTTGGTTGTATCATTTCACATTCTCGAGCAATATTGACAGCAGTTTTCAGATTATCACCTGTAATGTTGGATTTTGATGCATTGAGAGTTAAAACTTTGTAATCAAAATCAATGATATAAACTATTTTACCAGTAATCATAACAGTCCTAATATTCGCTTCAGCTAGTTCTTCTATTATTCCAGATGTTTCAGGCTTCAATTTGTTTTGCATAATCAGTAAACCGAGGAAGGTCATATTTTCTTCCAAGTCTTGTCTATAAATAGAAAGCAAAACTTATAACAGCTATCCTTGCAAGCGGCATCGTAAAAATATTACCGTGAGAGTTTTTGAGCAGATCGCCATGAAAGTTTTGAATCTAAAGATCTATGAGCCAAACCGAGCACTCTGTAACCTTGTTCCGTAAGTGACTCCAACGTTTGAGAGAAATCGTCAGGGACTACAGTAGAATGTATGATAAGAATCTTTTCTATGAAAGGCAATAAAATGCCATCATTAACAGAATTACATTTATTGGTATCAACGTACCTGAACTGCTGTTACAATATTGTATTACTGTTTCGGGGGCTCCTTTCATAACTAATTCTAGGTTGCCAGCTCCTAACTTACGAATGAGCACTGACATGCGCTTCAAGTCAGAGGTGAAAGCGTAGCGTTTCAAAATCCCATATTCAAATTGGTTCTAAAATAACGAATAAAGGAAAGAATAAAATAGCTACTCTATCAGCAAGTATGTGGGCCAGATATGAATGCATATTGGGGAAGCAAATATTTGAGCGATGACGGTGTGAATAGGTTGCTGGTAGTTCTGAAGAAATTAAGACGCTACCTGACTGGTTGTGGGTGTAGAACTTGGAGGTTTTACGCTTGCTTGAATAACGGTATCGTACTTTTGATGATCGTCAGCACTTTCGTCTAAGGTCTGTGATGTTAATGTATCGAGAAGTTAAGATCTGTGTCTCATACCAGTAACGCTAACTAACGCAAGAAGATTGCTAAAGCCAATTTAAGTTTCCTACCCATTGCGTTGCTTGGAACATTTGCATATCTAAGGGGTCACCACACACATCACCTTTAAGAACTGTTAATGAATGGCAAGTTGCCATCGTAACCGCTAGCTTATCAGCTGGATTAGATTTAATATCAGTCAATATTTCCCTAAAGCTAAAAGACATCGTTTCACAACGTTGATTAACAATTCCCTTAATAAATATTATAAAAAGTTAAAATTATAGTTGATTGATGTCTAACCGTCCTTGTTTAACGCTGCTTACTCCCCAAAATTCCAAGAAGTCTTCTGTTAACGTTCCGGTCTTAAGGAAGGATTTAATTATCACAAAACTGGGAATTGTTTCTAGAGTATGCAAATAACACATGCGCTCTTACCTTATCGAAACAAACCAAATTGAGTTTACCACTCAAATTGATCCTTTGCGAAATTAAAATTTTAAAGAATGCTGTTAAAGTTTGTTTTATGAACATCTACGTAAGTTGACAGCTTAAAGCTTCAGATTTTAAAAATTAAAGTAGTAAGTACCTTGAAGGATTGATGCAAAAAATGCCTCTTACTCTAAGTCGATTCGTGGCATAGACAGTTCCAATCGAAACCGCGGCTGGTAGAGCTGGTGGAACAGCAATTGTGATCATGTCCAATGCTCGCTTAATAACTTCGCCTGGCGTTACCTATGTATGAATAATGCAGAACGCACTTGAAGATATTTATATATGTAAGTAGAAAAGGAGATAATCATTTATAAATACCCCATCAATAATAAGAGTTACGATGCTATAAATCAAACCAATGAGCGCTAGATCAAAGATATTTAAAAAAGCAATTTTAGTTCACAGAGAATCAGCTTAAATATATTAACGCAAATCATAATGCTTACGATGATATGGGCTACCGAGTATACAATAATTTTTAATTACCTAAAAAAGCTAAGCAGCCTACAAATCCAATTGCGTCACGGTACAACTTTAGGTTCATGGGCTTAGGATAAAGAATACTACGCACGAGATTACCCTTCATACTATAAAATCCTATCAGAGTGGGCAAACGCAACACTTCTTAAAATTTAGAATTTTATCAAGACGTTACGATAATCTCTGACCTGTGCGTATAACCAGTGCAGTTACAAGAGAAGAACTGTATGAACGGGCTTGCAAAACTTGCGTTCCAGCAAAAAGAGAATGTTGTTTGTGAAGGTTCGGGTAGTAAACGTTATCAGCATCAGCACCGTCACTAATCAGTTGTGTTTTTAGCACGGGATTACTCTCGCCTATATTGCGTATAAAATTATGTACCGCATAATGATATCTGTTATAACTAACTTGAATATTGCATAGATGAAAAACTGTACGTAATTAAAATTATCAATAAAAGTAATCATATCATTTAGTATGAAAACCTGTTAACGAGCTTTCATTAACAACACAGGAACCGCTAATTAAAACAGCATCGCATTCCATCCGTATTCCATCAGGCGGAATGACAATAACGTCGCCCGGGACAATTTCAGTACTAGATACATTTTCAGGGTCACCTGTATATTTCAGAAATAATTTTAATATAAAACTTGCTACGTTGAGAAAAAAATTTTATTTAGATTGTTGGCTACCGGAATGGTTCCTTATCACTTGAATATTTGATGATGTTGCGACCATATTTCTAAGGCGGACACGATTCTGTTGTCATAATTTTGATAAATACAGTATTTTTACGTCAGGAAATTATATAAGCTTATAAATGCATAGATTATGAAGTATAGATATCCAGTCACAAACTATTCTCACCCGGCGAGTTTGCACCAAGGTTATGGCGATGGATACTACTGATACAAATACAATGCATCCTGCGTAATAGTAGTAGTCATCAAAGAACCATAATGTTACGCTGAATACTTGGAAGACATAGAATGGATTTAATGCCTAGTATGAATAAGCAGGTTTAGATATACGGTATGTCCGATGAGATGATTCTACGATTTCTACGAGTTTATATCGGTGGCAGAATATATTAGAATCCAGAACCTTACCACTTCAAAAAGTAAACGAATGTAACTTTTAACTTTGACATCGATTAAGTTCTGCTCATATATGATTGCCCTATGCAAAATAAATGAGATGATTTCATACGATATGGTCCATAATACAGTGAACGAAAATAGAATTTTTTTAAATCAATTTAAAGTACGATCGAGGATCATACCTTCTACCAGCTTGATGATTATCAAGTCCACGCGAGAAACGGTCGTAAATCTCGCGGCACGTAAAATTGCGATCAAGGCCCCTGTTATACAATATTCACAACATAAAGCATATATTTTTCCGTTAAGTACTAATTCAATAATCATGTTTCATTCAAATAAGCTACAGGCTAATTTATTTGTTCATACATAAAGTCTGCGGTCTGTATACGCTACTACTATCTACGAACTAAAATGTTGCTATTGGAGTAACTTTATTGTAAGAAGATATACCTAAGAACCGTAAAATGTTGAATTTGCGGATTCCAAAAATAGCGGAGACAATGAAATTTGAAATATTTGACATCCAAGGGCTATGTAACAGGAGGTAAAAAAATTGAGTTAGGGTGACTTGCAGTGAAAAACAATTTTGAAATAGTTAGCTTACATTTGTACCATTCCCAAGGGCATCCGTGGGATCATCATTTGTTTCGTGTATCATCTGTTTTCCATTTGAATTCTCTCTATTAGGGAGTATGTGGGATATCATTAATAAATCTAAACATGATCGTAAAATCTATACTAAGGCTATTGCATTATAGTTAATAAGAGTAATACATTAGTTTGGTCGTCATGAATTTTGGGTATAAATATTGTATGAACATGATATCCAGATTGCATTGTAGATGAATAAATCAGTTTATAAGTTCCAGATAGCCTGTCTATATATAATGTGCATGTATGTACGGCATGTATATATTCAGATGTTTATTTGCTATAGTGATTAACTGTTTGGTATAAGTATAATAATTAAAATAACGCTAGAGGTATGTGATACCTTCTAGTATTGTCCACTAGTTGTAGGATTTTAGCAGGGTACCAACGATTGTACTGGTCCTAAAGGTAAATGGGTTTATCAGAGATATGCTTTGTAAGGTGAATACAATGGATAAAATTAGCTATGAATATCTAGTAAGAGCAATAAAGTATATGCCTAACATTTCCCACGATATGTAAAACTAGCCTCGGATAGATAGTAGCAAATTTGTAATTTTGTAAATATAGATTCATTGTATTAATAGAAAGTTAACATGCGCTGACCTTGATGAAAACGGAATCAGCTTCTTGAAATGGGCACATACTATGAGTCCATTTATGCCTCCAATCCGGACGCCAATACCCCACAAGAACAAAGAAGCCACAGGAAAGTAAACAACAAAGGTAATACAAAAAGGTCTGCAATCAAAATTTATATGGCTATTTCAGCAGAAGAATTGAACATTGAACGAAGTCTTGTCATATATTAGACTGAAAGTGGTATATTTAGAATGTAATATTTGCAACGAATAATGTTAGTGTGAAATTGTAAGTTCAGGTACCGAGAAAACATTTATATTTCTACGCCCTTTATAATAAACATAATCTGCTAGTAATAATTCGTACTCATAATAATGATATACAAAGTACTGAATCACAGATTAGATAATTATTTTACGTGTATTATGAAACAATATTTTAAACACAACTTGATCAAGAATTGCTCTAGTTTATATCAAAGTATCATCTAAAAGAATATACGTTACCTTTTTGTAATCAATTTTACTCCCATAGCATATCTTTCATTTTAATTGTGGCCATCGTATACAGTATGCAAAGATAAGTAAAAATGTTCGCCAGTGAAAGTGATCGGAATGAGTGAAATAATAATTTTATTAGATTGAGAATATAATTTATTGAATAATGTTTAATTGATCTTCGCTATAAATATGTAATTGAATTTATACTGTATCGATTTGGATAGAATGTTTACAATGTTAAAAGAGATCTTTATCGTAGATGTTATGGATTAACGATAAACATGATCTCTTTCGGACGGTATGGCTACATGATCTTACCACTTCTTCGTCGGTGCCTTCATGAAGCAATTGATGGGATTCATTTCCATTTTCAGGTATCAAACTATAAGGTTTGTTTTCTCTACTGCTATCTAAAACGGTAAAGATAGCAATAAAACGATATCAGAATACTGCTATCAATGTATTAGAGCAGCAATTGTTACCGAAGCAATATAATTCATATAAATTTACATATAAAATATCTTGGAAAAAATATTCTAGACATAATAAACAAAGGCCTCAATCCAGTGCACCGTCACAAATTGATAAAAGGAGTACTCCTGAAAATTTTAAATTTCTATTCGTTATCTCCGGTAAAAGAGATAATTGACGTTCGTTAGCCAGTACTGCTTGAGAGTATTGTTGACGATACTAAGATCAATTTCGAAGAGATAGCGGCGATTCTTTATTACTCCATTCGCAAATTAATTATAAAGGTATTCTTAAGCAACATACTCAGTAGGAATAAGATTATTAGAAAAACAAGATAGGGTTTTGATGTTATTGACGTGTTGAAATATGAATTTTAAACGTTGCCAAGTGCCTAGATTATGATTGAAATCTTCCAATGTCGGATATGGACATTGTTCGTATTCTTAATGATTCGTATTTACAAATGGAATGAAGATATTTTCAACTATGATGAATTGTTTGAATAGCTATAGTACTTTGTGATAGTAATTCAGGATTACAATTCTAAGGTTGGCTACTACATCAATTATCAAACCCTTAGTAGCGACTACCAAGCAAAAATAGTACATGTATCCTTATGGTTAGCACGCGTAGAAACAAGAATAAGGCGTCGTCATAACAGCAGTAGTACCAGTACGTTCATCATTGTTGACTGGATAGTCAGTATAGTTGCTGTCAACATCGGAGACCTCTTGAAATAACTATACGATTATGCTGTAGTGCATCTATAGAAAGCGTTCAATAAGAACCATTGATGCAAAATGGTTCAATCTTGTAACTAGTTGAACCCGGTTGATTAATAACAGATGAATTGGAAGAATGAATATTCTCAATGACAACTTCTCACTGCAGTACCAACATTATACAAGTAGGCAGGGACTTCTATGCAAGCACACTTTTTCGACATCAATTCGACACAGATATAACTGCATAAACAGATGCAGTAAGTGCCCGGTTGATTAATAACTGATAAATTGGAAGAATGAATATTCTTAGTGACAATTTCTCACTGCAGTACCAACATTGTACAAGTAGGCAGAGGACTTTTATTGCAAGTACACTTTTTCGACATCAATTCGACACAGATTTAACTGCCTAAACAGATGCAGTAAGTGCACTCTACTTCAAACGTTTACAGTTACCGTGCCAAGGAATTATGGACTACGACTCTGCTACTCTAGTGTGGACAGTGACTGCCTTGGTGCCCAATACTGCCCAACCTAGTCAAGTTACTGTAGGCACCAGGGACTACTGTCAGAGTAGTTCCATTCAGTAGTCGTTGACATTAGTAAAACAAATATGTAATCAGATATACAGACATACGGATATGATCGGTATAAGATGATATAGACGAGCGGATAGACAGATGCCATGCCGTTAAAGCCAAACGCAAAAAGTATGCATTTAAAGATGTTGTTCAGGCAAGACTGCCGCAAAAACGTATATGAAATCGCACTTAATTAGATTTACTCTCTATCATGGCTATCGGTTGTAATTCCGTACGAAAAATAAATACGAGCCAATTCTTTTACGAATGAAATAGAAATGAAGGGGTAATGGGCAGAGTACTAAACTACAGCAACGCTGACTATACCTTATACGAAATTATTCCACTTTCTCTCAACTGCCTACAAATATATTGGATTAGTCGCACTAAGTTAGATTAAGGCTTTTCGATCCTTTATCAAACTGCTATTGGCCGCAAGCAATGAATGGAACTATTTTTTACAAATAGGTAGAGCACTAAAAATACTATACATTTGAGCATTATTTCGAAAACATAAATGATATAGCGGAATATATGAGGATTGTCCTTTGTTATTACTGGCTATTATACAGCAAAATATGTATAAGCCTGAGTAAATTGTCCTCGGTTGAAAGTTTACAATGCAACGTGATTAAATTCTCTATGTATTTCATATCCTGTAAAGTACTCCGTGCCAAAGAAAGTTTAAAATTCAGTTTCTACTGTTAGCTTTGAGCATGACATAAAGTATAATGTGTAATATTTTCTCAGATTTTTGATATTGTACACACGTGTACACTGTACAGTACAATGACATTTTAAAAATGTCTTGCGTATGAAAAGCTACATTACTGTAAAGTATGCCTTAGGTAAGCTGGATTGAAATTAATAGAAAAGACTACACAGATGGCTATTTACAACCACGTGAAACAACTAAAAATTTGATCTGATGGAGAGGGCCCCATACAGAAAATGTTAAATGGACAAACCAATAACTGATTAGTAACTTCAATCTCAGACTATCGTTAAATCAGTCAGTAGTGAGAGAGCATTTGTACGGCAGAGTATAAGATGCGATCTTCTTTATGTGGATCTGGGAATGTATTCCTATAAATGCCAGTTTTATTTCTTCGTCTGCATTGCTCCAATCAAGGTGAAAATATAGCTATATCATATTACGTCAAAAGAGAATCACACCTTTGTTGCATTGGTATCTCAATTAGCTATGACGATACAAAATTAGGATCGGATACAACCTTAATAATTGCCAATACGGTGTGATCTAACCCCTGCATTTTATTTTATGGACATGGATAAGGAACGAGAGCATTACTAGAGGTATTAAGGAGTTGTGAACTCTTCATGGTTATAATAGAAAATCGTTGATTTTATATAGAATTTAGACTGCAACACCAGTACTTGATAGTCATTAAGTTCTAAGTTGTTTGGTGTACGATACGAGTCATGTTTTACTCTTCGCTATGGCTTTTAGCAAAAAATTTTAAAATTGGTTGCTATCAAAGATGCTAAAAAAAATAGTCTGCAGAATTACCTGTATGGGCCATTTTTATATGTTAAAATGATAACGCTGCGTGCTAGTCAGTATGATGAGATTTTCATGTCAGCTTTCAGTTCCAGCTTCATAAAGTAAATGATGTGCTTTTTGCCTTGAATTAAATGAAGTTACGAATTAGATGAACTTTTACAGTATCGTACAGATGTTTTTTAAGGTACTTCACTAGAGATAATCTATCGTATCATTATGATGTAGTCCTGACTTACGATAGAGCAGTCCTTTCTTCGGATAAGAGAGTTTAAAAATTTGGTGATGAACGTCTATACGTTGAGTACCTTGCCGAATAGAACTGTAATTTAATTGCGCCCCTATTATCCGCTGGGTAGTGACCGCCTATTTGGGTAAACTTGTAATTTACTGGGACAGTGGATTCGAAGGCTGTTGCCTACTGAGTTAGCGGAAATTTGCTATATAGTGTAGATTAAGTTATTCTAGCCAACGCGAGATTGTATGAAGAACTTGAGCTGACAAGTAGTTATCATCATGACGTACATAACATTGCATACGATCACGTGTTAATATTATGTATGAATATCATTTTATGTAAATATTAGCATATAGAAACTAAACAGTATTAGTTTATATGCAGTTTTACATAATTCATATTAGAATCTGGACATTTCAAGTAATAGTATCAGGTACGGTAGCTCTACAGAAATTTTAATTAGTGTAAATACACTGATTTGATATCAATAATCTTCATACAAACCAGAAGATAACACAGATATGGTGCATTCAAGTTACGCCCGCGTATATTTGCAATTTAAATGATAATTCAGTAGAACATCTTTTGTCATCCTAGTCAACCAGTAGATAATTATTTACTGCTTGAAGAAGATTTCAATTGTCATATAGTGTTCTTATGATTATGTTAATTACAGTAATTATGATCTGCAAGTATGGATCATGACAGTTGTAATTCCAACCTAATGAAAATGCGGTAATTATGTTAGTGTTCAAACTCAGTAATGTTATACATGCGAATACGTATAATGTACATTAGCTTACAGTGTACTGCTTCAGACTGATACAGTAAATTTATCATGCACACTACCAGTATTTTCCTAATATTCCGGGATGATTATTTCTTAATACTAAAATTTTCCCAGCATAGTTAAACGCTTTAATGTATTAGTTATATATATATATATATGCTACAGTCAATAAAAGGTTCGATGTTGATCGTATCATATAACATACGAGTATACTGTACACGTATATATAACGTGCAATTATTTAAGAAATATGAGATTGTAACTAAACAATATAGTGTACTGTATATTGTAAATCGAATACTGCTAATATTGATCTATTCATCTATTATAAACTTTTAATATGTTTTGTAATTTTGTATTACTGGTTACCAGATCGATTGATCTTTCTTTCATAGAGTAAGAAAAACCGAGTATTCTTATATTCAATCTTAGCTCAACTAGGATAACAGCAAATAAATGTTTTAAGCAACAGACGTATTATAAAATTACACATATTTGTAGTATATAGATTAACAACTGATATAAAAGGCAATAGAAGCAAACATGTTGTTACTGAACTGGTTTAAGTAGACGCTTAAGCTACTAGTAGTAACACTGAAATAAACAATTGACCAGCAGTGAAGTAGAATAATAATTCATAATTTATCGTGCTTTAAGAAATCATTTTGATAAGATATTGTCCACAAAAGTAGCATTGATGTTTTGGCGTACATAGATACGATAAATATACAAAATGATAAACAGGTTGCTGAATCATTATTTATTGTAGTAGGGATAGTACTGCATAATAATAGATTAAACTATACGTATAACTATAGGAGTAAACTTGAGGAAATATCGAAATAAACTCTATTTTGTATAATCGCACGGTGGTCTAGGATTACTTGAGCTATTTATAGCAAAAATTAAGTTAGAATTGGAATGGTAATTTAATGTTGTGGCGTCACCGTCTTGCAGTAAAATTACTCTTGAGAGTAGATCGATACCGCTATCAACCATTAGCGGTGTTTCTAATATCATAAAAAAAATTAACGTAATCTCTTTAGGTGTGAATTTAAATGTCCTTAATGCTGCAAAATATTCAATTCTACTCTGCACTTACTGGTTAAATGGTACGCTATGAACTAGCCCTTCCCTATACGTACTATAGTAGTAGAAGCTAATTCATTATTATCATTAGTTCGTCTAGACTGATCGATCCCTCGTATTTTACAGAAACCAAATTAAATAGTGTGCAATTTAAATACTCCTTTAAATTGCTTGAGTTAGTGTCATATGCCTATTGAGATTCATCTCTAGAACAGTCGGAAAGAATCTCGCTATCTGATAAAACCTTACTTCCTTTATAACGTAGATAATTTATTGGATTATTTACTAAATGGAAGTCAAAACTCTTCTGTACTTTATCATCGGTTACGACTCAATGAAGAATGAATGCTGCCAATCCATTGTGAAGTATGTACAAAAATAAACTATTATGACGCCGTTGATGATTTAGCAATGGATAAATTATATAAATTTTATGGCTGTCACGTATTTCACTTTTACTCATCAGATAACATCAATTTAATGCCCTAGTATTCCGTAATTAAAATTGATATTTTTCGTAGCTTTTTTTACGTGTAGACTTCTTGGATACTTAAAAATTTTTACGCCAGATGTATTGATCGTCAATTTAAATGCTGTTGCCAATTTAGTCTATGCAATAAATCTGTAGGTTCATGTCACATGTATATATGCAGAAGAGATAAAATATATGAATAATTGATTAATTATACTGTAATCATCAGTATTTTACACAATGTTAGAATATAACATTGTCGCCAACTTTACAACGAATATTTCATGATCCTTTGTAATTCTTAGTGAAAAGACTTTTTGTAATTAGTCTTTAAATTGTCGACATTATTTAAACAAAATGTCGCGAATTCTATGAACAGCATAGAAGTACTGAATTAAAGCATTAATTCCCTAAGGCAATACTGAATACATTGTTTTCTAGGCATTCTATTCAGCAGAGATATTCAATTTTATTAATTCACTATAAACCAATAAGGATAGCTCCTAATTCTGTTAAAGCTACTTTAATCATCCTAATCGTAATTCCTTAAACAATAACTGTTTTTCTACGTAATCGTAAAACAGCTAGAAGTGGTTTCATAAAGTAGTTCAAGTTAAAACTTTAAAGCCTATCACGAGATTGTAGCAATGTGGCTACCAGTCAAGAAAATGGAATTCTCCTGCTGTCACTTATCAATGCTCTGCATGTTAGCCATTATCGGTAAATAATTTGAAGTAGAAGCAACTTGAGTTTGAAGTTAAATACTACTAGTATCTGTAATATAACAGCAATTAAAATTTACTTATATAACTAATCGTGATTACAATGAAGTTTAACACGCCAAGAAACTTTATCAGAATAATTTATTATACCTATCGTCATTATATTACAATCCTTTCTAATTTGGATAATTAGATTTTAAGTATGGCCAGTGATTTTGATAAATAATATAAATTATCTTATCAATAACGATAAAATTTACGATCAAAAGTTTACGGTAAAAACTAATTTGAGGCGATTTAAGCACTACATGCCTATCGGTCGCTGCGTTGTTGATTTAGCCTTAATAAATTAACAAGTTAGCCGCTCGTAGACGCCATTCTGGTAGATTCATGTACTCTTTAGCAAAATATAGCATTGAACTATTTAAAGGTGTAAACCATAATTTTTAACTTTTAATATATCGATAAAAAGTGTTAAATGTCGTGGTAGATCTCGTATACGGTACGTTACTGATGCTGCATTACATGACTAATTTTCTCGATTTATTTTACCTATATAAAATCGTATGCATTAGTCAATTCATGAGACTATTACGAAACTACTCTACCCTCAGTTAATTATGGTTTGACAGACAGTCAATATTGGTGACATTTTGAAAAAAGAGACCTACTGTATTTAGTATTTATGTACTTGTAGATCAACTCTTGGTACTAGCGAATGTTTTCTAGCGGCTGGGTAACGAAATAAATGCGAATATATGTATTTTATAGTTTCTATGATATGGTAGATCAGAAATTTGTTGTAAATCATAATAATATGATGAAAGGACTAATTAATTATTGGACTTAGTGACAAATTTCTCAACACGTAATTGAAGCGTTAGCGAAATTTGCCATAAATTTCCACTAATATTGTTTCTCAAGCTCGCTAAGTTACCTTACTTAACCAGCCGCTACCTTGAATGCATCATTAACTGTAAATTCATGCAGAATATCCCAGCGTATGATGGTGTTGTGAGTCTATCTGTAATTTTACGATAAAATCAAGCCGCCTTTTTACAATTTTGCAGTATCTTCTTTGAGGAATTAATAGATTTACAACAATTTTATAGCCATCAGAACTAACATAAATCTATATTTTGAACTTTATGGTTATAAAATTCAATATTTTCAATAGAGCTGTGATGGCACTCATGCTTTTATTTTCTCACTAATAGGCAATTTACAGTATGGCATGAGCTTGGCAGAATATACAGATGAAATTTCCCAAATGAATGAGGGAATGGCACCAGAATTCACTTCAGAAGCTTACGTTTTAACCTACTCCAAATATTTAAAGTCTAATAGCGAAGCTATCGTCGAGCCCAATTTAATTGTTAAATATAAAGGTCTCAATCAACAAAGAGACGGTGGGCTTGAGGTTCAAATTTTGGATGGTGGCAATATTCCATTTAAAATTATGCCTACAGATGAAGTTTATGCCATCGATGATGTCGATAATAGCTATTCTTATGCACGAGGTGCAGTATAGGGCATTTGATATTTATGCAATGACATTAATTACTTCACTGTTATCATAATAATTACTTCAAAGGTTTTAATTTAGAACAATCTAGATGGTCTAATTTTACAGTTATTAATAATTAATTCAATTAAACTATGATATAGTTGACGCGCTGAATGCTTATTAAATTACAATTAATCATGTTATAATTGTATAAACAGAATTTAAGGTTGTTTCAACTCGAAGCATAACTTGTGACAATGATGGGGTATACATTTTTCATGCAATCGCGTTGCATAGTACAACTCCAAATCAAACAAGCAAAAGAATTACAGTACAAGTTAATGTGTTACTTAACGAAGATAGCTTTCCGAAAATGGTTAATCGATCACTGACCGTAGTTGCTAGAAAGGGACGCTCTAACCTGGATATTTTGAAGATACCTGCAGAACCCAAATCATGCGGCTCTGATATATGTATAATAAGCAACTATGCCATCGCAGATAAAGCCTTTCGAAATCTTTTTCAGGTTTCAAATCAAGGTAAGTTAAATATACTTGATAACGTGACAAGTTGAGCTAGGATAATATCACTCTACAGTTACTTAAGAATATATTATGGTTGCAACATCGATATGATGTTAAGTACAGACAATTCTCTAGTTTATTGGTATCAGTATTAGTATTTTACTTACAATTTCAAAAGAAAAATAACTTATGTATCATGGTTATGTGCTAAACATTCATATAAACGTGATATTTCTCATATATATTTTCTGTTCATTTTTGATGCGTTTGGATAGGCTATTTAAGTATCATAGGAAAATTGTCCGAGCGTATTGGCAAGTACTCTTTCGAGGTCGTCGCTTATGACTGCCGAGGTGTCAGTACAATAAATACCAAAACCGTAATAACTGTCATCAATCAGTTTGCAACGGTACCGTCTATAAAGTTCGCACGAACAGAAACAATTTTTAATCCCTGTCAAAGTCCGACAACCATTGGTAATATTCGGGCTACTAACTTAAAAAACCAGAATATCCATTCCGTTAATATAACAGTTGATTTATCGGTAGATAAAAGGGGTGTTGAAGGTAACTTTAATTTAAATTTTATTAGATTTTACTGCATTTAATGAATACTGCTTACAGCAATTTGCTTTGTTAATTTTTTAATTCAAAAAATTTCTTCAGCATGCTATAGAGCAGCACATAGCCAGATTTTTGAATATCATCGCTGTGTAGGAAAAAAATTCTTTTACGATTTATTCGACGATAGCAGACTTCCTGCTTGGTCTAAAGGCAATATCCTTAAAATTCCAAATTCCATTTCAAATGCGTATCGTGCTGCTTATACAATGGACCAAAAGAGCGTTATTGCTGTTCCTAAAGGTTTGATGCATTTAATGACAGCATCATTGTCAAATTAGGATTTCTGATTCGTAAAGGTCCTATTTGTAGTGTTTTATTATCTGTAAATGATACGCTTTTGTAGTCTTTTTGATTGAATTTGGGCGTAGTAACTGTGGAAGGTTTTCTTTCGATACACTAACCATCATAGCTATCGTTTGATACTAGTTTTTAATAATACAGTATTTTATAATTGATTTGTTCAGGTATAATTCAAGACGGAATTGGTACTGATAATTATACATTTGCATCACGAATAAAGCTCAATAGCAGTAAAAGAATGCAGATTCTAGTTACACTAAACCAAAGTCCAACATCAGATACCTTTATTAAGTTAAAGATCGTTGATTCAAGATTCCAGCTCGATCTTGGCGAGAGTAAGACTAAAGCAAAAATTACTACAATTTATTTCCCTAATTTCATCGTTCAAAGTAATCTTTGGTATCAGATTCTATTAGTTACAAATGTAAAATCGAGATATACAAAAATGATGGTAAATGGTGAAACGTTACATTCAATGTACGCTTATATTAATCGTCATTACGATAAAGTAGATACCCCGTTTGCTGTAACTATCGGCCATATGGATGCTAGACAATCATTTCAAGGTATTATTGCTGATGTCAGTATAGCTTTTAATATTTTCCCAAAATTTAAAATGGATTACTGCGTACCGCAGTGCAAAGAAGGCATATACATTAAACTGAATCATGAAGATCGGTCTAGGTTATCATTCTTACATCCTGATCGACATATTTTCACCTATCCGGCAATTAACAACAACAACGATTTAGCTGCCATTGTCCAAGGGATTACATATTATAATCAATTTTCCCATCCGGAATTTGGAAATCGTATTGTCGATATCCGAATTGGAATCAATCACAATCGTGATATCATATCTATCAAGCATGTAATCAGAATTGCTAAAAGTTTAGCCCTGGAACCAAATATAACTATTACTGGTAATGATCACTTAATCATGAGAATGGATGATAAAAATATTGCGCTAATGAAGTATTCTCGCATAAATTATCATCATATTTGCAAGCGTAGTCATCTAGATAAAGCTATAATTCAGTTATTGCATCGAAATCATCGGTGTGCCTTTATTAAAATTGATAAAGTCCTTGCTACGAACGTTGGCTTGACTGTATTAGAAGACAAAGGAAATATAATTTTAAGTGGAGTAGCATCAGTGAGCACTTATCAACAAATCCTAAATACATTATACTATTATAACTATTGTCCTCCTTCAGTTACTGAAAATATTGTAACTGCCCAAGTTTATTCTAATTCTCAAAGATTCGCAAGTAATTTAAAGTATTACTTCATACACAAAAATTCAGGTGGAAAAGAAGGTAGTGATAACCTAACGGATTCAGAGGATAAAGTTCATTGGTTTAGTATTAAGAATAAAGATTTGTGGGAGTCAATTTACCCACCAGTGATAGTTTTAATTCTTAGCTCATTGATAATTTTTATCATAATTTTAATTGCAAATCGATACAATAAAGGAAAAAATGAAATAAAAATGACGACACCTGTGCACAAAGGCAAGTTATCAAATCTTAAACTCACTTATAATCGTCTAGAAACATACAAATTCGATTGAAAAGATCTGTATCTGGTAGAATTTATGAAAATCAAAGATAATATTTAATCTATGTCATTGCAAAAAATATGTTGTATTATAATTTAAATTGTAAAGCAAATTATATAAATGGATGTACCATTATAGGTTACGCTTAACATTTAATATCAACCCTGTTTTGTATAAAAATTGTCATGAAAGTCAACGGTGCAAATTCACTAGCAGTTGTTGCAATTGATTTTATCAAAAGTAGTTTCTGCATAATTCTGCGCTGATACGTGTACATACAGTATCTATAATTATAATAGATTAGAAAGCAGTTAATATTCATAAATATTTATGATCATGTTATCGCTTTAGATTCATCTTGAATTGTGATTTTAAGCAATAGATGTGGTTATTGCGACTGTTAGTAGCCTATACTCAGGAATGAGTAGATGATTACGAAGAAATTTTAACGACATTTTTAGACAGTGATTTCTTAATAAAGAACTCGAGCTATTTGTTAATGATGTACATAAATAACATCTTAGTACACTTTTATCAACTTTGCATAAAATTACTCAATCAAATAATTTTTCTAGACTTAGTTTATAACCATCAGATTTAATAAATTCCAGTAGGATTACATGCTTATACTACATTGAATAGTTGACAAAAATTTACTAAATGAGAGCAAACTAGCCTATCTGACTGTTATGAGATGAGTGTATAAAAAATATACCAAGTTATTAAAGCACTAGTAGGTAATTTTCCTGCGTGTAATGCAATGGTTATACTAAATGGTTGACGGGTAAGATGTTGCTTTCTTTAACAACAGCAAAGAATAATTAAAAAATCAGTACACTGTAATAAGTGGTTAAGAATGCCGGCCCATAAAATATTCACTTGTACTAATTACAAACAAATATTTCGGATCTGGGCTGGATTCCTGTACAAGAGAAAGTAATTGGGCTATGTCAGCAGTACTTAGAATGAATAAACCATAGCACTGTATTACTCCTCATCACCAAAGATCGACCAAACACTTTATAGAGTTGTGGTATTATTGAATATAAGTTGGATTAAATCATTAAGCAAAGTCTTTTTAACAGAATTAATAAATTTGTATAGTTTAGTGATTGGATTTCGCACGACTGCTGTCTATGATCATGGGAGATACACATAGGTATGATTTGTATCCTATTTAGACGCCCAAGATAGTATATCAGCTAAGTTTGCGATCTTGATGTAGCTATCAATAATATTATGATACATCGAATTCACCCGCAATTTAGCATAACTTATCAGAAAAGAAGGCATTAAGATTTCGACTACGAGAAATCATGGTTTATACGAGCATCATATACAGTATATTATCAACATAACTAATGAAACAACTTATGAAATGCGTTAGATACGAAAAATTGAAAACCAGTACTATATTTCCATATTATACTATAGTTAATCACGTAGTAATATGTAATCATCAAGAATAACAGTCGTAGTAACCGATTCAGTTCTAATGTTATCGAGTCATGAATTAATGCGCTAAAATTGATAGGAACGGTATATTTTTTAATGTGATTAGCAAATACGGACTGATGGAACAGCAAAGGATTTCTGCGACCATAGCGCAGACTAATTGCAATTATAATAGTAATAACATTAATACGAATACGAGTATATCCGAACGCATATCATTCTTAATATCGTTAATATCGTATACTAAGCGAATTAATAAATAAATGAATGCTAGTCACCCTTCAAGAAATAGTCGCTGTGAGTAGCACCTTTTAAAAGTAAGATTCAATAGCAAAATCGCTATTTCACAGTTAGTTTTTAAACCACTGACATCCGTTCTAAAACAACAGCTTTGAATGATGCATATTTACGGACAGAAAATACGAGCTCGTATGCTCGTATTTCAACACAGACTTGATTTCCTGAAATTCGATCAAAATTAGATGAGCTAATACTAGCGCTCATTTCAGGCTTGATTTTGGTGATTACAGCCTCCGTAAAAATAGTAGAATATGCGTATTGCAATGCGTACCAGGAGCTGTCACCATTTTAAGAGACATATGCCGTATACAGTACGTTGTATATGTTACTGTACAATACCGTGTGTACTACGAGTACTGCGTGTCAAGTCAGATATACTGTACTTGTTACTCGTATCCTCGGAATAGACGAAGAGACTAGTGAGTAATCGTAGTTCTGTGGTGGTCATTGGCTGTCTATTACTGTTGGTATACAGTAAAGTACCATGGACCAGCTGGGACTTCCCGATAAAATACTGTTGAGGGGGAAAAGAGAAGACGGTGTTGAAAACAAGGTAACAGAGCAAAACTGTGGAGGTTGGCAGTCGAACGGAGCATGAATGGAAGTCTGCTCAGATGGACGGACTTTTCTGATAAGATGTGGCCAAAAATATGCAAAAATAAAGTACAGTAGACCAAGGACTTCTAAGACAAATACTAGTGTTAGTTTTCGTATTACAGTACTGTAGAAGTCCCTGACTGTACACTGTACAGTGTGTACAGTATACAGTATGACATACAGTACTGTACTGTACACTGTACAGTAGTTGCTTTAGTTGATCCGCTTACCGTTAGTATGGATCTTCTGTATCTGTTTCTAAATCACTCGTACTAATTCATTAACATTTATGATCTTCTATAACTGCTTTCGGATCAAGTACATTAGACTTTCAAGTAAAACTTAATTAAAAAATAGGATTCAATGTAATATTACTGTTCATAATTCGGAAAAAATAAGCTAATTACAGAATCTAGTACCTACAGTACAGTACAGTACTGTACATACTAAAATAATAACGGTTGCAAGTGTTCGGAACAGTACAGTATAGTACTGTACAGTTCTGTATTTTGACTACACTGTACTGTACTGTACAGTACAGTAGGTGAAATATCCGCCTGTCCGCGCGGGAGGGTTTTTTTGTCCAGGCTTTCTTCTCGAGGCTCATGACAAGATGTACAGTACTGTACAGTGTACAGTTCTGTACAGTAGAAAAAGACCAGGTCTTCTTCTAGTAGTCCATGACTGAATTATTTGGCGCAAACAGGGACTGCAGTACTAAATGTGGCGCAAGTTACCCTATGCAGAACTATGTCTACTCTAAACACATCTACTGTACATTTTACAGTACCGTACACTCGAGAAATTCTCTTAGAAATCACGGGTAGTAAATCGTTTGACGCGTTTGTACAGTACATCGAAGTCACATAGTGTCAGAAAAACTGCCGAAAAAAATTGATCGTAAACAATTCCTGTAAAAAAAAAGCAATCAGATCGAAATCTGATACAAATAAAGAAGTATGGACGATAACAATAATAATAATAATACTGTAATTGTGCATAATAATGAAGCTGTATTAGACTATTAGCAATGACTAAGACAAATGATGTTGACGTTATTCCAAAACAAGTACAAAATACCCAGAATTCCACGGGTAAATCGCCTTTTGTTATTTTGCATAAGGAATGAAAAACAACATGACTCCATTTATAATGTATATACTGTACAGTATAGTATAATAATATATTTACTTTACTCCTGTTTTTTCACCTTTGTATCCCACAGTTCAGTGCGGTACAGTACATCGTACAGTGCACTGTACTGTACTATACAGTACTATACTGTACTGTACAGTATACTGTACAGTGTACAGTACAGTACTGTACAGTATGAAATGAGATACAGCACTGTACTGTACTGTACTGTACTGGTTCTGGTTGATAATGTAACGTATCGTACCGTACTGTACCCGCCGTGTTACTTAATTATGGTATTAACCAATTACAGTTTGTTATTTAATTCTAATTCTAACCTTTTCTTTCTTTTCCTTTATCTATATAGTCCAAGGACCTGTAATGTCACAGATGCATTATGGGTAGGCAATGCATGCACCTGATTGGCTGAATAGCTTCAAGTAACCTTCAGTCAATGCATGACCATTCCATCGCAGCGTGCACATCCGGGCACTTTAGCCAATAATAATGAAGAAACGAAAGGTATCATGGGAAATGGCTTAGCAACCAATAAAATTTCTTGGAACCCACGTGACTACTACAGTATTTGATATATAAAGGTGTATCTACTCTTGCTCCTGCTCACATTTGTGACTCTTGGTAGCTGTTGCACTGTTCTCTTGTGACTGGACACTTGATGTTTTAGAGCTGCATGTTGAGTCAGTATAACATCGATTATTAAAAATTCAATACCTCTTCGCTCAAAAATGACTAACTTGAAGGAGAAGAAAGTCTCGCCTGTTGTACATTTCGTAGCTGGAGGGTAAGAGGATTGATATGATATAATATTTAAAATCAACTTAAGGTTGTCTATACTCTGTGATACTTTTCGGGAGATACGTTTGAAACGGTGAAGAATTTCGCCATCATGTACTAGTAGTACAGTAGTCTCACATAACATCATTTCCACTTCGCTCTCGTTGATCGTAACACAAAACCTGGATCTATTTAACGTAAAGTTAACCGGCTTGGTAGTCAATAAAGAGTACGAAGATGCTAATTTTGTGTCTTTTCGTGGTGGTGTATCATCTAAAGTTACTGCCGTGTAATCCGCTTGAATGTACAGTACAGTATTTCGATTTTATTCTTGCTGTCGTGTGCACTGTTGCAGTACAGATATCGGATCAAGGTAGTCGTCAGTACCTCATGCTTCAAGGCCCTATTGTGCGTAAAATCTAAGAGACTTTGTCACTCTTTCACTAAATTTACAAGTAAGGCATCTCGTAATTTTAGTACGAGAATCGATGCAAATTTTCATATTCGATTTATTACGATTGCGGCGTCGCAAGACTCACTAAACTCTAGAGAGTACTGTAAACGCAGCCGTCTGTTTATGTGGGCGAAGGTGCAGCGGTATTGTTAGAACGAGTATTGATGCTGCATTGATGTTCCTATGTCCACGATTAAATGCATATGGCTAGTTTGTCTATTAATACGTTAACAGTAGCACGTTACTGTATTGAACGTAAAATTTTTTACAACCCGTATACTGCAGAACTCAGTGGTTACTCAGACACATTCAGCATCTTTCACACCGTTTCCAACAACTGTTAAATACATAGTTCATATAATTAATGAATAGATTCGAAAACGTTTTTAGTGCTACGTCCTGCAAGTTGAAATATTTGGTTCTTGAAGCTACACTACTACGTAAACGTCAGTCTTACAATTTAGATTCCTTCGCTTATTTATAGATCTACGGTAGAGAACGGTTAATTTTGAATATTGACTAATAAGGGGTTCAGTTATTGTAGCTGCTATTATAGGTACACTTTACAGTGTTGCGGAATTGATCTAATGACCATATTATGCGATGTACATGTTAGCTACAGTAGTTTAGAGTGATGTGCAAGCAATAATGTATTAACATGCAAAGCGATATTAATTTGGTACATGTTACATACTTCTGTATAATAGCACTGGAGCTACAGCTGGAGCGCTACTCACAGCACCTTTAGAAATCATCAAGACGAGGTTGCAGGTATGATAACACTCTTACTTACCTTGTTGCTTGAACTTTATAAACGATGTGACGTACGCTAATCTAGCTGTTCAGATTGTATCTTGGTTTATGAAAATTTTGCCAGTGAACATTATAAATTTAGCAAATTGTTATATTATGGCGTAGGCCTCTCGTGTTCCTCATATGCAATTGGCTGTATCACAACCTACTGTGATCTCTCTGGCTGGAGGCAACGTCACACAAGCTTTGCCATTTAGTCAGGGCAAGCAAGGCGTTGTAATGCATTTACGGTAAGGTCAAGATTGTGACTTGAAGGTATTTTTGATTCTTCATTGATGGTTAATTTCCTTTATAGATTAATCGTCCAGAATGAAGGTTTACGTGCCCTATGGAAAGGTATTGGCCCTTATTTAATCGGTGTTGCACCAGCGCGATCGGTATATTTTGCTACGTACGCTACGTCTAAGAAGTATTTCAATTCTAAGTTGAAACCGGAATCGAGCGTGGTTCATATGCTATCTGCTAGTATTGGAGGTAATGATGCGCTATATGATATGATAGTTCTCAGTCAAGGAGGTGATAGTTTGAGAATTTCAGCTATGAAGAGTAGTCGCAGCTATGTACGGTATTGTATTATATATATATGTTCGTAAACATACATTATAAAGCCCTTAATACTGTATTCTGCGCTGAAAGCTTCTAAATCATGCTACTGTATATCATTCGCCTAGTATAATAACCTTAAGTTAGTAATCGTGGTAATTTATGAATCCCTTAAGCTTCCTTCGATGGCTAATTTGCTATATCAAATTCGCTGCGAAGTGATCGTACTCGTATTTTAACAAGTGATTACAACGATTGAAATCGTAGAAAGTGCCGAGAATTTCGGCGCAACACTGGAGCTTTGCATTAATTATTGCGTTCTGTTGCAACATAAAACCCTGAAAAGCTTTTCAGCTATATATCGTCGTTTTTATTCATATTGACTTGGAGTGCTGCCTTTGCAAGGCGTTTCATTGCATAAATTGCGTTCTTGACACAAATTTACGCTTATCGACAGTGCTGACTTCACGTTGGCACTGTACCCCATTTCTTCGCAATAACAGTTCCATTCAAATCGCCTTTCCGATATTAGATTTATCTTAAATCCTGATTGTGTAACATTTAATCTGATTGCGTTAATGTCGTATATTTAATGTTAGCTTGTAAAGATGTAACTTGTTATGCTATGAATAATCTTTGCTTCATTTAGCAACTGTCAGCCTACTACATATACTTCAGCATTGCTTTGGTAATGCTGGTAAGAAATGACTTACATACGCTTGATACGGAAGATTTACCAATGGTAGTGTTCATGGTAGCGCTGCTATAATATCTAGTGTTTTAATTGTATAATTGCTAATTTATATCGAATTTGTAAATACGTTTAAAGGCAGTTTACGCTACGGTATTAAAATTGCTATGAATTAGCTTTAAACATTTATGTGAGTTTGTTATTAGTTAGTGTCTGGATAGAACTGTAAAATATTATTTATTTGCCATATGTATATAAGTATTTATACATTATACGCAATGTTGCATGCATTGATATTAAGAGGAATTATAAGTATATTTAAATAGTTATGTTGATATTGTGCCCCGACGTTTTTTTGTTCATTTGGGATGAGCTTTATATAGTTGGTTGCGTCGGTTACTATACGTCTCAATGCATTGACAACTTCTATAAGGGTACTTTCCACGAACTTTCTAGCATTTACGGTTATGAGCCAATAATTAAAAATCAATTTGTTTATGCATTGAGTCACGTAAAGGATCCGATGTTAAGTTTTTAACGCTTTTTTTATGGTCTGTCTGATAAGATCTGCTGCGAGTATTGGCGTTACAAGTCTTAATTTACTAACCCTTTTATAATGTTGCACATACATAAAACGTTGTTGATGTGCAGTGCAGTCAGTGTACACTCACCTTTGGATTTGTGTTACCTTGAATTAAGATTGTATCGTAATCTCGCAACAGGAGGTCTTACCAGAGCCTGTTTACTCATCGTTTTCTTTTAATTTTTATAATGTTCATGTAGTGCAGTAGCTAATGACGTCATTTGCAGTCATCTTTACTAATATTTTACCTTTATAATAGGTGCCGTTGCGGTCACTTCTACTTGCCCTATTTGGGTTATAAAAACGCGCTTGCAGCTAGATACGAAAAGGTATAGTTTTATATAATTTTAAATTAACAACTGGCTTCGGTACAATTGATAATATTTCCTTTCCTTTTATCTAGAACGAACTTTAAGAGTGGTTTACTGTGTGCTAAGAATATATATGCAACAGATGGTATTAGGGGTTTCTATCGTGGTTTATCCGCTAGTTATGTAGGCATCGGAGAGACTGTTTTGCAATTCGTTATTTACGAGCGCCTAAAGAAGACGTTAAAACAGAATCGCGATAGCTTTACGCAACAGAAATCATACAAAGATTTTACGGAATGTATTATTGCAGCCGCTGGTAGTAAGTTTATTGCATCTGGCTTAACATACCCTCACGAAGTTGTTCGAACGAGATTACGTGAAAAATTTGATGGTCCTCGACAGTATCGCTCGTTCGTTCAGACATTACTAAAGGTATGGAGAGAGGAAGGAAGACCTGGGCTTTATGGTGGAATGAATGCTCATTTAATACGAGTCATACCTAACACCGTATCGATGATGCTGGTTTATGAATTGGTTGTATACGCTATATCAAATCGAGATATCACATCCTATTAGATAGTGTAATATATCTTTCAGGCCCTATTACGAGTTTGATGTTAAAACTTTTATATGCATCCATCAAATTTAGTAATAGACCAAAATCAACCTAAAATTATTAAGCATCGATATATTGTTATGTATTTGTAAAATAAAATAATACTATCGCAATCATTTTCGTTGAGGTCACAAAATCGTTTCAAAAACGACAGAAAGCAATAAAGATGGATTTATACCGAAAATTGACAAATCGATTGGTATAAAACCATATATATATATATATATGTATATTGATATATGAAATCGTATTATAGCATACTTTGAAGATATATTTATTTGGTTGATAAACCGTTTATATATTTCAATGCTGTCGGCTGATGTAATCAATTCTACTACAATAAAGAATGCTGAAATAAATCAATCTTTTCGTTGTTATTATACTGCAGTACCTGTTAAATGTTAAGCCTTCTAAATATAAGCACGCACTGAGCATTATTTAGAAGAGGCAGGTCCACTCTTGAGTACCTTTCATACTACTCTTTGTAAGTTTGACTTCGCTAATCTACGGAGCATACCAATTAAGATGTTGTCTAAGCAGCTAGACGTAAGGCATCATCAGCATGGTTTTATTAACTTAGTATTATACTGTTGCTTCAAGTCTGAAGCTGTCTGGGTTCGTAACGATCAAAATTAAGTTTATTACTGGAAGTGTCGAAAACATAAGTCGTTACTTAGTAAATACTACGGCAAATATAGTATCACATAACCTGTATAATATCTATATATAACTAATAACAATAAGGCGCTTTCATTTGACTTTATTTACCGTTCGACAATGTGATTTACTTTGTGTTCATTGCTAGGCAATAGACAGATAATTATTGTTCATGTATTATCAAGGCTGCGCAATTGTATTCAAAGACTGTTGATTGCTTCAGTTTAATAATATATCGAATATACAGTACGGTATAAAAAACTGTTTCGTGGCAATACTAGATTTTAAGACGGCGTCAACTTACTATTGTACGGACCATATTTAACACTACTTGAAATTTTTACAATTAACGATTCGTTCGACCTAGTGTTAGTACGAAATTGCAGTTAAGAAGGTATCTTTTAAAATGAGATTTAGGCCAATAATCTACCTAAGTGTGTACGCATGTTTGATTCTTATCCTAAGTCACCAGTCACGATGTATTGTGACCATTAAGGAGAATGGATACGCAGGTGTTGTTGTAGCTATATCAGAAAACATTGTTGAGAGTGATTATCCGACATTAGTGTCAGATTTGATACAAAATTTTATTAATGCTTCCAGTTATTTATATACAGCTACTCGAAACAGAGCATTTTTTAAAAATGTTACAATTTTGATACCTGCGACGTGGCAAGATAAGGTTACGTATCAAGCAGCTACAAGTCAATCATTTGACTCCGCAGATTTTCGTATCGATTTAGTCCCTGGTCACACAAGAGCGACAACAGTTGGAGTTCCGGGATGCGGAATGAGTGGGCAGTATATTTTAATTCCACCACAGCGATTTCAACAAGTGAAAGCACCTCCATATCGAATGATAGTTCATGAATGGGCTCACTACCGCTATGGAGTTTTCGATGAATATGCGGTATCCCCAAGTCAGCTGGGATTTATTGGTATAAAAATTGCAATATACTAAATAGTGTGCTTAATCTAAAGTACTACAATATTCTATCACGTAATCGTTTATGGTTGTTCATTAAAGAATATCTTAATTTATTCAGATGGCCAAGGTAATATTAATGAGAACAAATGTACGGCGCAAATTGAAGGAGGGATCATCGATATAATTACCGGAAAAAAATGTAATTATCCGTACGGGTCTAATTGCGTTTATTCTGTTACCAATGGCAAAGGTTCAAAAGGATCAATTATGTTCGATCAAAATATCGATTCGGTAATATGACTTCTCTATTATCAATAAATCAAATACATATTACTAAATTTATTGGCTGTCAACTATACGTGTATCACTCTTGTTTTGATTTATTCTCATATCCGCATTCGTTTATCAATTCATAAATTATAAGTGTTGAGAATATTTTTGATAATACAATCACTATCAGTTAGACGATTAGAAATTACTGCTTATCTATTTAATCTCTCTTTACCTATACTGTAATTAGATTAGAATGTAACGTCAAATATAGGGATGATAATTGATTTCATTATATTTATTTTCTTCTTTTAACTAATCAAACTCCGTAAATTCTAATTCTGAATATATCAGTAATGGTTTCATGCCCATATTTATTTCGATAGGTCAATACTTTTTGCGATACTGACAATTCCAATCCATTGACTTACCATAACGCCTTTGCTTTGAATAATCAAAATTTATATTGCCTCTTCCAAAGTACGTGGACAGTGATAATGCGTCACCAAGATTTCACGAATAACAATAATCCGGCTAGACAAATCGATATCACTGTACCAAATATTAGAATAGTACGTCGAAAGGATATCCGTACTGTTTTGGTTTTGGATACTTCCGGCAGCATGCAGGGTGTGCGCTTACAACAAATGCGACTAGCGACCACTAATTTTATATTAAATTCAGCAGTCGAGGGCGAATTCTTAGGTAAGAGAAGAAATCAACTGACTAATCTCCTATTCTTCTGTTCGCTTTTATCTTATCATTATTTGCGTATTTCATCTAAATTAAAATATTAGGCATTGTTTCCTTTAATTCAAGAACCACAATAATGAGCTCGTTAACTAAAATTGTCGATCAAAATGTCAAAAATAATTTAATTGCTCAAATTCCAAGTGCAGCCGTCGGCTTAACATCAGTTGGTGGTGGATTACTATCGGCTCTAAATGTAAGAGATTTAGCTTGTTTCCTTAATAGTATATAATTCAATTATCTTAACGCGAAAGTTTCTAACTCTTATAATAAATGCTAAAATGCCATTGTTATACTGGTACTCTCAAGATTATTACTCGAACGGGTACATATTCACTAGAAGTTAATTTACATTTATTGCTTGTGATATTATTAAAGCAGTTTACCCCGAGCCTGTAGGTCGATTAATTCAAACTATTTCCGATGCTTGTTTGTAATATAACCACCAATTTCTAAATATATATTTAGAAATTAAGTTTCTCATTTTAATCTTATAAAGTAGCACTAATTGTATAATAGAGAACTCATAGGTTATTATATCACCACTATTAGTTAGAGATAGAACATGTTAAACAGTTGCACACTGGATTATTTCAAGGACACTTTCGAATAGAAATAGATTAAGATAGCTATGCATTGTTAGCTTTAATTTTACGATAAATACAGCTACTGATGTTCTATAATAGGCTGTTTTGCTTTTTTCAGATGTTGAAGAGTTCAGTAAATCAATCATTTCCATGTGGTGGTAGAATGATTGTCTTGAGTGATGGAGAAGAGAACGTGGGGCCATACATTAGTTCGGTTATCAACGATTTAGTTTCTAATCAAATTATCGTACACACCGTATCATTAGGCTCCTCCGCTTCTGAAAGACTGCAAAATGTCTCCTATTCTACTGGTGGAAAAGCGATTTACGCTCCATCAGGAGATATTGCAACCCTTAACAGCGCTTTTTTGTCGATATCACAGCAAAATGCTGCTGGTGATGGATCACAGGCGGAAAATATTTTGCAGGCAAGTTTTGAAATAATGGTACCTTTACAAATCGAGATTAATTTAAAGTGACGATGGTAATTAGTATAATTTCGTGAGAGCCCCTAACACTAAACTTTGATTTCTATAAGGAATTTATCTTAGCGATTTATACTGATACGAATATTATGATTATCTTTCTTTATTAAGGTTCAAAGCGAAAGCTTACAACTTTCTGCCTTTGGAATTTATTACGGAAATGTTTACATCGATGAGTCTATTGGAAACGATACCGCTATCACTATTCTATGGGATGTTCAGCCAACTACTTTAGTCGTTACATCACCTAGTGGTGATGATTATAATACATCATCACAGGTATATTCTCAACCTTCCAATGGATTAAGCCGGTTCTACTTTGGAAAGTCTACGACTCAGGTACATAATCTTCATTTAGGATGTTGTTACAATCCTACAGTCACCATAGGCTACAAAAAATGATAAAAGCCTATTTAGTAAGTATGTTTGATTCAGTTACTTGTTCTGTTTTCTTAAATTAGTATTCTAACAATCAATTTTTTTAATACAAAATAGACTGGAATTTGGCGTTATAAAATTCAAGCCGGCGGAAACCAAAAGCGTTCAATTCAAACTATTGCAATTTCGGTTACAAGCCGGCCATCGACATCTAGCAAATCTAGCAATCCATTAACTAGCCCTGTTACAGCGAGCATTAAAATTGATCAAGCAAGTATCACTTACCCACAACCGGTGAGAACTGAAATATAATTATAGTATAACCCAATTTCATCATTTGGTAATTTTTGAATCTTAATGAATTTATGACTTATGACTTTATTTCCAGGTATTGATCAGTGTTAACGTTCAGAAAAATTATTTTGCAGTATTAAATGCATCGGTTTATGTAAGTATTATCCCACCTAGCAAGACGACATCCGAAGTAATTACATTAAATGATCAAGGAGCAGGTAAATCGCTGAATTCTTGTAAGCGATCAAGTGAAAAATGTAATCAGAGGATAGTTTTTGAATTTTAATTTCGTTATTTGGTTTTGACAGGCGCCGATTTAGTTAAAAATGATGGGATCTATTCTGGCTACTACACTAATTTTATTAGTAATGGCCGTTACAGTGTCCAAGCTCGAGTTAACGCTAGCCAAGATCAAGCTTATATTCTGACGGCTCAGCTAATCGGAATTCAGGATAATCAAGATGGCAGCAATACAACTTCAAATCAATTGATTCATTTACCTTCTTTTACACGAGTTACGTCCGGTAATCTATTTCAAGTCACTAATTATGTTCAAGGTTAGTTACTAATGTGATAGTTACCTGAAAAATTAGTTCATTAGTTATGCGTTCAATTAGGACTTACCGATCAAACTTCAAAATTGTACATAATAATCTTGGCTCTTACATTATGCATGCAGTTGCTAATTAAATGATATCTTTTCAGGTATAGATAAGATTCCACCTGCGAGAGTTCACGATTTGCAAGCGAATACGGCCAATGTAATCAATTTTACTATGTTATTAACTTGGACAGCGCCTGGAGATAATATGGATACTGGTCGAGGTAAGCGATTTTCTTGATGACTTACGCAATTTAATGACGCCATTTTAAAATTAAAATAATAAATCACTCCATTTATGTATTTGAACTGTAGCTTCAAGATATGAAATTCGCTATAGTCTGAATTATACTATTTTTACCAGTAACTTTTCTTCCGGCCAGCTGGTTACTTCGGATTTTATCGTGAACAGTGGCAATTCAATGCGTCCTCGTCTACCTGGTATTTTGGAAGAATTACAAGTTGCTATACCTAATGCGAAAGTTAATGAAACGTATTCATTTGCCTTGATAACATACGATAACAGTGCCAACGTAGCCCAAGTCTCTAATTATGCCCTTGCTACATTTACTAAAATCACAACTCCGCCGCAAATTAATTCTGACCTTATCATTAATATTAGTGTTGGTATAGGATGTGGCATAGTAGGGATTATTTTGTTAACTGTTATTGGCATTTTTCTAGTTCGAAAGTATTCTACGGGAAAATCAACTAAAATTGCCGTAATTAGCCTTCAGGCCTAAAATTACTTTAGTTTAATGGGACGATATCGATAGTTCATTTATCGATCGGAATTAAAATCAATTTCATACAACTTAGCTGGTTGTTTCATAAGCATTTAATGAATACTGCATTTAATTAAATAAGATTGAAAATACTGAAAGTTAATACTCGAAATATCTCCTCTGATGTAATAATGACAACGTTCCACCAAATTGTGTTACCTATTTTGCAGTAACATAATAAATATATCATTTTTTGTCAGAATCATATTCTAGTATGCAATAGCATTTCAGGCAAATTCTAAAATGGCTCATAACTATACCTCGCTTTTATCTCAAATTGGCTTCTATCTACTACCTTAGGCAAAATATCTGCTGATAATCAACTATTTCGTAACCTCCGTAAATTCTATACTATAATGTTATAATTGTAACCGACGTATTGATTATCCATAAATGTACTCAATTTTATGTTATATGCCGCATTAATTTTTGATATCTGATATTTAAGACTTTTATAAAATCTGCAGTTTTATTACTTATTCTTTCAACTACAGTATCTTTATGTTTTTCTTTGATTTCGATAATAATTATTGTTAGGCCGTGATCTTCACTTTATGATACTTGATTTCAATCGGATACCTGCACAATTATCTTATTCATACAAATAAATCTAAGGCAACCTTATTTCCTTGTGGTTGAAATATAAACAGTACTCTTTCTTCATCTTTACTGCCTTAACTATTGAATCGATGGTCGTCTAAAGCTTGTCACTATTATTTATTGAAATTTAAATTAATGCCGCGCTACAGTAGTACAATTTCTACATAATTCTAAGAGGCTTTTGGCCGTAATCAAGTAATGCATTAACATTAAGTATTATCTTAACTATAAATGAATTTTTGCATCAAGATTATAAGAAAGTGATAGGGAGTGATATACTAATAATCATGCTTGCCTGGTCTTTGTACTTCTGATAACGCTGCATTTAAATCCTTTGTCTTCGTTAAATAGTTTTAAATTCTCAAATTACTTCGATAATATACGGTAATTTAAAATTTTAATTACTATTCTGCTTATTGATATAATTTCCGATTTACCAAATATTCACATAAATACTGATACCTATACTTTGAAAGAAAAACTAAATTATTTCCAATGTAAGCACCTCATTTACGTTAGACTATTGAGCATAAAAAGGTTGCAATATTTTATCGCGTTCTGCCATTCAAATTCATAGGATACCCATGCCCGTTAACTTACATCACTCTTAAATTTTCTATTAAAACTGCTAATAAAGTTGTAATGCAAACGTTATTTATTTACGAACAGTTTAAACAGCCTTTATTATTCTACCTGGTCGATGCAATTATATACAGTAAATATATAGTTATATATATATATATGCTGTATATGAATCGATAGCGTTGCAAATCATATTAAAAAGATCTAAGCGTTATATTTATATGTTCTAAAATAATCATTGCATACGGAGAAAAAATAGGTAAAGACAGCTAACCATCATCCAATTGTATAAGTACTCGTAAAAGATATGTTGTCAAATCAAACGGTAATTTAAATTTAGAGTACAGCAGATTTTCAAACAGCTATAAAAACTATTGAATGGCAACTCATTGAAAGAACGGTCCGGTAGCTACGTTTTGCTTTCCCTAAACTTACAATTTAATGATAAATTATCCATAATATTCCGTATTGAGGAATCATATAACAAAATGATTATAGGTTAAAAAAGGATATTGTTTTAAAATTTTACTTTCTATCACAAAAGACAGTCGATAGAAAATATTCATACGATTTTTACTATCGACGTTATTTCCATATGGTAAAAAACAATCGTAAGAAAGTGTACAGTGTAAGTACCACAACATTTTCATGAAGTATAGTAGAATTAAGAATTTATCGGTGAATTAGTAGGTATATTAATTATTAATGATAGGGAAGGGTTTAAAGTTATAATAGTTATATCATCGCAGCGTGATTATTCAGTTTTGCAATAAATGGGATTGGAGAACCGATTACTTAGTAACATATTTATCACCTAGATAGGTTTTTTTCCGAATGCAGATTGTTATAATGAGGATAACAATGAGAAAGATCGAAATTCCAATAATTATACCAGCCGTCTGGCCAGCAGTAAGACCAGATCCAGGTGGAATTTGTGGTTGAAATCTTCCTTGAGCATAGTTGGATACTGGCGAAGCAAGTCCAGCATCATCGTATGCTTGTAAAGCAAATGTATATGGTCTATTAAAGGCCGCATCGGGCAAATGGACTACAAATTGTTCAACAGTACCGGCAGGCATTGGGCTTGAAATATTACTACTTTCACTAAGAAAATCATTTTTTGTTAGTTCGATTCCGGCTTGGAAGTCATTTATAAATATGCTGTAATTTGCACTATATCGGATAATATAAGAGGAAGCTGCAATTAAATCAGAAAAACAGATTCCATTTAGTGATCGATTTTAGTATATTTTATATTTACATTCTGACATTATTGCATAGTATAATGATCATAAACATTTATTTCTCATTTTGGTCATATGAGATTGCTTTTTATTTTATATCGAAATTGAATCGATGACTACAGAAAAAGTTTACATTATACTCTCTAATTTACACGTAATTGGAATATTTGGATAAAAAATAAACGTGGAGTAATCACTAATATCTATATGCTTCGGTTGATGCTAATGGGCATGTACCGATTCATTTAATAACTAGTTTCAACATACCTGTGCCAGTGTCCATATCGTCACCGGGAGCTGGGAATGAAATAGTTATGGTCATATTTTTGGAATCGATATGTGTAATTTCCAAGCCATGTACTCTGGCTGGCGGGATTTTGTCGACACCTAGAAATTTCGTTTAATGTACGTTGTAAGTTAATGTGATCAATGGTTGTAGTATCAGTAATAAGAGATAGCAATAAATCCTTTGCTGCACCTTTTACATAATCTGAAACTTCAATTAGACTACCGGAGGTAATACGAGTAAATTCATTAAGGCCAAGATTGGCAAAATTAGTGTTATCATTTTCGGCACTTTCGCTACCATTGACAACAAACTGGCCGCCATTTCGTAAGCTGCCAACACCAATGACATAGTTAAAATTGATAAATGATTTATTTTGAGCAGCTTTAACTTGTGCTTGAATGCTGTAGCGACCATTTGCATTAAATTGTGTAAAAAATGCGGAATAGATACCGTCATCCTTGACTAAATCAGCCCCTATAAACAAGGAAGATGGACTATTTTACAATGATTCCGTCATTTTAGTTTAAGTTTGTAGTATAAAAATGGTAAGTTCAATATGCATACACATGATTAGTAAAGATAGAGTTTTAAAGCTTTCTGTTCTCATAGGACAGTTTAATCTACGATACAGCTGCGAATCTTGTTTAATTTCGTAAATACAGTAGTCATTCTGTACTATGGCATTAGTTAAAATGGTTTATAATATTTATAAGGTAATTTATTACATTCTATTTTTCTCTTACGTAGCCTATTTTTTTCGAATTACTGGATATATCATATAATACTGTATATGGCCAATGCTGGCTTAATTCAGCATATTACGAAGTATATAAATTCAAGCTGAACTTGAACAGATGAAAATTAAAATAGGAAGCTTAGATACCGAAGCTATTATGATCAGGTGATTGTCTATTAAATGACAATCAACTAATAAATAAATATTTAAAAAATAACAGTATTCCGATAATATTAAACAATCTATCTCAATCAATACTTTCATTATAACGTAGCATAAGGTATATTGCTAATAGAATGATATTAGCTATAATATTATTAAATGAAAATTGCATTAAATTTTAGGGATTTTTCTTGAATACAGAAGATATTATTTCATAATTGTCGGAATCTAGTACCAGAATTAGCTAAGTATATTCAAGTTAGTTTGGAAACAATCATACTGTACTAAAATAGAGTTGGTGTACAAGGAAAATGTTACAATTTTGTTCAACGAAATATAACGAACCTGATGCTTTATCATTTGCTGGTAGCAGAACAAATTTATTGCTAACTGGCGTAGAAATAGTTAGCATAACTTCCGCATTAAGCACTGCTAAATAACCTTTTTGCACGTTGACAGTAATCAGTACCTAAAGGACGTAGAAAACGATTTTAGTCACCGTCTTCACCAATCTTAGCTTTATTCAGGTATATTAACTTACTGGGCTAGGGAATACAATTGCAGATTTGTCTACTGTTACAACAACGCTGACGGGTTGTTTTAAAGGGTCACTGTCAGCATTGAGAGATGCTTTAGAGGTAACGGTAGCAACAATATCTTGTTTACTTGGACTAGAAAGCAACTTTACTGAGAATTTCCATTCTCCAACCTTATTATTTTGGAAAAAAACTATGTTAAAATTTATTGATATCAACAATCTTAGCTTCTATTTGTAAATAAAGTAGATTAGCTTGCATGTTGAAGATTATTGTTACCATGACGGAACTGGCCGGAAAAGTAAATTGACTAAGTTTACGGGCTGAATAAGTGGAATATTCGGCAGATGTTGCATTATAGGTGGTTCCATCAGGAGCTGTGATAGTGTATATTGCATTTGACGATATCCACAAGAACGTAAACTCAAGACCAACGCTGTTTCCATCATCCAGCGAAATAGAGTCGTTAAATGGGCTTTTGGTTTCCACAGTAAATTTTTTAAGATATATCTAATCACGATTGAAAGAGCAAATTCTTAATTTACAAGCTTGTAATGGGCATGATTAAAGTAGTAATATTAATACGGTAAGTAATGTAACATTATTAAAATACTTTGATAATATATAATTGCAAAGGACTAAAATAAACCAGCCTAAATCATATAGGATATGTAGTTATAACCGGCATACTGAAATTAAACTTATAACCATAAGTCCAAACATGCCCAGGTCTAATTTCGGATATGGGCTAGAACAGAAACCGTAAGTCCTGCCACTCTTTACTAGGCAATCTAATGATATATTTATTTGCTAGTATTTTTAGAAAGACTAGATACTCTATTGAAATGGTGATTAATACCAGTAAATTATGGCAGCGCTAGCAACATATGCTACTATCGTTTCCCATATTTACTAGTAACTTTAGAACGATAATCTGTAGGACACCATTCATATAAATAATTTAGTTTGATATACAGACATACCTGCGATACTGGTGCCGTTCGGCCATAATTATTTTTTTCCGCTATTGTCGTAAACGCATTGACTAATCTTGCTGTATCATCGTTAGGAACGAAAAATGATAAACCACCAGTTTCATAGCACAGCGATTGCAATTTTACAGATGCCAAAGATCCAAATGATATTCCTTGGACCGTAATCTTGTTATCTAGCACTTGCTTTTTGACATCTGCAATAGTCGGAGATCGATTTTCTCTCCCATCTGACAAGACAATTAAAGTACCACCACTGGGTGATTTGTTTCCAACAGATGCCTTCAATATCTGCAATAACCAATTAATATTAATGCAAATAATATACTTAAAAAGAATGGCCTAAAAAAGGATACGAGCACATTTTCAGCGTAAATGGAAAATAGTTTAGATTAAAGCCGCTAACAAATTCCGTAAAAAAGATTAATTGTAGATTACGGTTATTAGAAAAGGTATTAATTTAGGGAATCAGTTACCTTCGCAATGAAAACCATAGAAATAGTACACAAATCTAATAATTAGTTAAGCTAGAGAGGCTATGAAGTACTAACTTATAGGAACGAAATAGATTCACGCTTTAAAGATGATATTAACATACTTTAACTCCCGCTTGTATTCCGGCTCCGATACTTGTAGAACCACTAGCTCCAGATGGCAGTAGCAAAATTAGTCGTTGCCGATCCGCATCATCATTAATTTGAACTAAGCTACTACGGATGGAAGCAGCACTGGAAAATGTTATAATCCCTATTTGATAGCAAATTGATACCGTAAATTGCATTGATATTTGCAAGAAATCAAAACAATTCTCGAGTGAATAAGTTAAATATTTACAACATAAAAGCCATTTAATGTTGGTCATTACTAAATTGAAATCACTTATAATAAATAAAAATAAACGAACCTACAAAACTTCCATTCTGAGCTACATTAAGTAGAAAGTTTGTTGCAGCTTGCTGCAATTGCTCCATTGGTTTTCCGCGCATACTACCTGAAACATCTAGTACCAATACTGTACGAGGTTTTTTGGCTCTTACAAGTCTGATTAATGGCCTAGTATCACTGATATTTGCCGGTGGATTTGCATTATTTCGAAAATCGACCCCTTGTCTCATAATGTCCCAAGCACTACGCATTTGACATAATCGATTGTGACGATTGTTAGGTAAAGTATTGTGGTAGGTAGCAGGATCATCAGAATTGCTGTCGCAAAAGTGAAGGACCTAGTATTTGCGAAATGGAGAGAAAATTTTAACATAGACTAGCAGCTGCAATCGTTAGAAAATTTACTACATTGGAGAAGCAAATAAGAAGGTCAGTGCCTTTTTAGATGAATCAGTAATAAAAAATAATAATTGTGTAATCGAATAGTTTTCTCTCTACTCTATATTAAATAGATTCAACAACGCCGAAGCCTATTATATATGACTAATTACAGTATACTTCCTAGAGAGAACTAAAATTATTATCTATTTCAGTAATCCCTGATATTAATGGGAAAAATATTATTGCAGCGTACGATGTCTGAGTGTAATTAGTATACCTGGAGGTACTTTTAGCTTTCAACTACTATACTTACAGATGGAATATTATGATCATACATGATGGATCCTGATGGAACGCTGGGATTTTGTGGTAAAAAAACACAGTCTGCCGTGTATGGATAAGTGCAAGGCGCATAGGTGCGTCTATTGAAAACAGCACCGGGCAATTGAGAGTTGCATCGAGTTACTTGTACTTCCCCGGCATCATCTAATCCATTATCATTGAAAGCAGTATCAGTTATCGTATCATTCGAATTTTTTGGATATAAAATTTGCAACTAAAATATCGTTCACGCATTAAAATCATCTCTTCTTACTTAGAAAATATGAAATAAAAAAATGATCTATGAATAGGCAGGTACGGTATAAATTCGAATATATGCTATATTACTCTGTATCAATTAATTTTTAAAGCTTTGTGCCGATAATAAAGTATGATTTATCAGCTCATAGAGTGCGATAAGCAAGATAATTGAAGTATGATATGTTTACAATCTAAATTTACTTTTACAGTACTTGTAATTGTGTGCGTATTTTAGAAAACGTCTAAACGTTTAATTAATAAACAATTTGAGCATCTAATAAATTACTTTATTGTAATCGTATAACGATAAGAGTGCTAAAGCTTTGTCCTTTACTTAAGTTAAGGTAAGTCAGATTTGGTCAGTTCACATTTCTAGGTGATATTCGCGTACTACTATATAATGAAGAGTATAAAGTACTAGCTAGACTAGATTTATTAGCTATGATCAGATTTATATGTGATGTTGTAGTAATGGGAATAGAGTGATATTCTTCGTTAAGAATCAATCATCATGAAAGATACCCTGAAGTAATGCGAGAAAATTGAGCAACACTAACTACAGTAATGTAACAACTAAGAGTAACTAAGGTTTGAAGAGTCGTTGGCTTTTACGTATTTAGAATAGAAGACATCTAAGGATATGTCTATAGAACTAATAGCCTGAAATAGTAACAAATAATTCTATGCATGGGTAAGAAGTTGTAATTACTATAAATAACTAAAACATGATCATTTTTATCGTTTCATTATAATTGAATTGCATTATTAACAATATCGTGTTAAAACATAATATAAATTGATTTAGTTGATTAAAGAAAATGCTACAGTAAGGAAATGATTGTTTGTCTTCAAAATATATTTTACTTAAGTAAGAGAATTCGTCCACCGAGTACGGATATTCATCAAATAGGCCGTAACGTAAATGACCCCATTCATGGACTATCATTCTAGCTGGCGACCAAGCAAACTTATAGAAGCGTTGTGGTGATATTAAGATATATTGGCCAAAACCACCACATTGAGTCAAACCGACAGTTCTGGCTCTAGTTGCTGATCTTGCACCTGGATAATAATCTACTCGTATATCAGCTGTGTTATAAGTTTCACTGGTGGCCGGTTCATATATACTGTTATCCTCCCAGGTTTCAGGTATTAGAATAGTAATACCTTTGAAATAAGCACGTTGTTTGGTCGCGCTAAATAGATAGACAGATGCTCGAGCCAGTGTAGTGTTTAAAACGTCGATTAAGTCTGAGTAGGACTTTTCTTCTACTTGTTCGGATATAGCCAGTACAATTCCTTCATAGCCATTCTTTCGTAAGGTAATGACCGCATCAACATTACCCTTATATGAGATCTGATGGATCACTAAGGTCGTTAAATGTAAATATAAGACGAAAATACTAGCTATTCCTTGTAGTTTCATAGCTATTTCAGTTTAAGATCGATCAACACGGAAAGGATGTCCCAAGAGAAAGTAGCTTAACTTCTACTTGAGATTTATGGATACTTAAAACGTTGCCGTTCGTCGATCAACCTTCTAAGGATTCTTAAATGACAACCAGAACAATTGGTAAGCTATTTTCATCCTATGCAACATTGTTATGCAAACTCTGTGATTGATGGAATGCCTTTCTATTTGATGACGCATACAAATGATTTAATCTCTTGGACAATGGTTATTGACAGTATTACCAAGCTTTATTAGAATGAAGTGATTTTGCGATATAAGCGACACTTTATGATATGCTATAGCACGTTATCCAATGTATAAAAAGAATGATTAAAATCGAGTATATATTGGTTATATCGAGTATGATTGAGATAATACTTTTAAATAAATAATATAATCGTCTATGAAAATGGTTAGAATTAGCATAATTATTTTCTTTCAATGTCTAAAATGAGTATTTCTATGCAATCGGAGGCTGAGACAGTGATTTATTTTACGAAATAGAACATCGCTGAATTATACGAGTATGCAAAGGCGGAGCTCAAATTAACGTGGGTAATTGTGTTCAGGGTTTTCATATAAAGTAGACTGTACTCATAATAACCTTACAACGCGTTATGGCGTGACAACTGCGAAATGACAGTCTTACTGTACGCTCTTAATGTACTTAACAACGGTTTAAGAAAGTGAGAGGGAAATCTCTTCTTCCTATTAGCAATTCCCGGTTTACACTACACTATTGTAGTAATAGATTTAGCGTTGCTATTTAAGCCTACTACCATATCGTGGTAGATTGGCGTTACTATTTTTTGCAAGGAACGTTAGAATTTCATTGACGATTGCATACTGAGTACGATATGCGACTAAAATATCGCATGATCATTCATTAATAATGACCAGTCCCATAATATATATGTTGACCAATTTGTGCTGACTGTCAGTGATGAGGACAACACCAAGTACAATTACAATTTGCAGGACATAGTGTGTCGAGCAAACTCATAAATTTTAATATCTACCCTTAAACAATTAGTGCATGGTCTACTGTACAAATACAGTCCTAGTCATGGTCACGGATTACTAGAAGAAGTCCACCTGCCTGCTTCCATTTCTTTTAGTAGTCCTTGTCACGGTACACGACAAGGGTTAATATGCTGCGATATGCTCAATTGCTCATGGCACTAATGTAAACAAAGATGCATTTGCCGAGCACTGTTGTGACCTCTTGCGGATAAAACGATATAATCCGTGGTGATTCACTTCTTACTGTGCATTTAATCACTATACGCATTCATTAAAGCTGTTATGGACAAGTACCGTATGCAGTAATATCCCATCCAGTCCAATATAACGCCCAGTGCTACACTGACAACCCTAAAACCCTACAATAATAATGGAAAGCATGGTACTTATATCCACAAATAATGTCGCGACCTTATTATCTTTAAAAGTGAGGCTTTAAAACGTTACCGCAAAAGCAAAAAGGACACAGAAACTATGCTATTCAATTGCGGCAAAAGATTTTTCCTTCCGAATTGTCAATACTGCATATAATCTACTAGCTGCAAGAAGTCTACAGTCTAGTTTATTATTGTAGATCATTAGACAAGTTTGTACAATCCCTGCAATCTACTCTAGGCAATTCTAATAACTATCAAATTAAGGAAAATTATTATGCTAGAATACTAATGCTATAGTATAACAGTGAATATTATTACTACCAAATTAAAATAAAAAAACTCTGAAATTAATTAAATCAAATTAATCCATCATTACAATATGCGTAGCCTTATTCAATCATCACAGCGGTACTATTATAAGCGCTTGCTCAAAGTGCATATCATCACGGGTGACAATATTTTAGAAATTCATAAGTAAGTGTATGTACATAGTCATGGACCACTAGAAGAATACCTGGTCTTCTTTTGGTGGTCCTTGATGCAGTCCAAGGCAGTACTGGATAACATCAGCAACTGTGCATACTGTCAAATCGATCACGATGTAACGTATATGAGTAGTATTATATAAAATAATTATGTGTAGCATGTACAATTAATATAAATGTTTTGTAATAAAGTATTTTACCATGGTTTTACTATCTACAGTACTGTATATAAATCTTTACAATATTAACCTAAGGCACAATATTATCCAAAAACTTGGTTATCGGGAAGAGACAGAGCAGAACTAAAATTTACTCCATGGCTAACCTTCTATGTTTATAAGAAGGAATTGTAGGCTTTAAATCGCAAATTGAGTTGGCATTGTATCGTGCATGGTCACGCTTATATTTGGTGACGAGTTGGTCTCTATATTGGTAAGCATTGCAAACCACTACTGGTGTTAAGTAAAATTCAGACAAGATCAGATGCTTCTGAAGATAATCTATAAAACAGGTAAATTGTTTTTCACAAATAAAAACACTTCAGATGTGAGGGGCAACCTACAGTAAACTACGGTCCTTGCCCTGTATTGCATTATATTGTAAGTAATGCGAAACTGCATCACAGTCACCTGCAGAAAGGAGGAAAAATCGCTCAACTAGCAATCATCCCAGTCGCAGATATTTGCAACTACCAGAGCTTCGACCATGCAAGAGATACTGGTCCTAAAATCTGGAATTTGTATGGATACGCGATCTGTGACTGTGATCAAATCTGATTTTATTTGACCTCCGCTTTAGGAAAGCGTTGTATAAGAACATACAGTATATCCTAATAATTCGGTATCATACGTGTATATCTCATTATATTGTAGAAATAGTTGTCCAGTTGACCAGTGACTTGGTTATATATTACGCTTGTATTTTAATAAGAAAAGAAGGAAAAGTTGCAGACCGCCAGTAAAGCGGTGTACTATGACCTAGTGTTAAACAGTAATATAATACAGTATATAGAAGGTCTCTGCTGCATGTACTATACTGTAAATAAAGTGCAAGATATATAACAGTCGATGTAGATCGTGGATATATGTAAAAATGAGATTTTTCTTATCTTATACATTTTAATCCATTTTGCCTTAACCATTTTCGATAACTGTAATAGGTGAAGAGTGTTAAAATCTTCACTCGATGATTTAAAGGTCGAACGAGAATAGCGTAATTTACAAACGATAAACGTCGTTTTGAAGGCTAGCTTCGGCGTTAACGAGTTACACTGAAAGCTTTATTTTGATCATATTGTAATAAATTTTAGGTTAACACATGCCACGGATCGCCGTAATAACAGTAGACGATTTCCTTTAAATTCAACAGAGTACCCATTATGCAAACGTTTAATCGAAATATGGAAAAAGAATGCAGTTATATAAAATGATATATAAACAAGGATATCTTGTTGAATTTTAACCAATGCAACAAAGGAGGTTGATAATTAATGACAACTAAAGGATTAGACTCATGACGAGAAGAAGATTTATGAATCTTTCCATCCAAAAATAGTTTTGATATCACATCTTAATCTATGCATTATATAGGTCTTCCAGAGGAAAGAAGATACTAAAAATTCAAGAAAGGGAGAATAAAATAACTAATGCCTTATAGAATGCAATACTTGGTGTACATTGTAAGCCCATGATCGTTATGCCTAATGTACACATTACAGAAACCTATCCTTCGTCGGGACTTTAAAATAGCCAGTAATCGGTAATAATGATCCTGAATATTAATAAATAAGGAGAAAAAATTCACTCAATGACTTCATCTAACTCTAAAACGTCCTCAATTTCAGTATAATCAGTGACAGTTAACTGTATATTGTCAATTTTTAACTTTTTTGGTATTAATACTTGTAAAATTACGGTAAATAAAAGACGATATCAATTCAATTGCCATGCCAACCAAAAAATAAATTGAAATAAAATCTATTCTAATCTTATTGTCTGACATTGTAATTATTTTCGCTAGATAATTCTATTTTAATCCGCCGATCTTTAAATGTTTTTCTTATTTTATAATTGAACTGATAGGAGTAGCTAGGCGTATTAAAGAACGGTAGAAGAACAAGAATTTGAATAGGATTCTTAAATATCCACATTTTACTATCCATATCCTAGCATGAGGAAAGGTGTTGAGCTGTCCAAGAGTTTCAAAGCGGTAATGTCAATCACACACCTTACAATCTTTAGGCGACAGTTGATATTTGATCAGTTTACCGAATCTACTTTCCGTATAATGAGTTGGTGGCAATAATAGCCAATTAGTAATGGCAGATATTGCGTATAAAAGTATTTCTAGTAGCCATACATTAAACTACTCGTACTAGCACTATTCTAGAATATCGTCGAATATCCCATTAAAATAATAAAAATATGCGTCGTAAGGAAAAATTACACCTATTGTTCTTTCTAAACAATTCAATCTTATTCGAGACTGATCTATTTTATTGATACTTCAGGAATCAGGATTTAGGAAGAAGTTAAAATAAATCATTAATGATAACAGATCTGAGAGCTTTATTTAATGCAACTCGAGGGAGTTTAAGATCGATTTCTTTGGATATTGTTAGTACAGTGAGTTAGTTATTAAGAGCTTTTATTTATCAATCGATAGTGTTATAAATTTTTTAGTTTTAAAAGTTTATATATTGATAATAGATTTGATAAACATCGACAGTATTGATAGTTCATCTATTTCATGTAAATCATTCATACTAGTAAGCTTATGTAGTTCAGCGTATCACTGGATGACATAAAAGTAATTCGACTTCCTCTAGGGTCATTCTTTTTGCATTGATTAATTAGTTTTAGTATTTTAATTATATCGTAGCTTTATTGTGTCTGGCTAAAACAGCAAAATGATTGTTCGTTTAAAAATTGTATATAGTTATATTTAAGTCTTTTCGTATAGCTTTATTGGCATAGTAGCCTAATTCTTCTCTTTTTGAATACAGGGCTATAGTTAGTTCAGTTATAATTGCTTAATAAGTACGATTCTATCACGTTAAAGGGAACTGATAAATTAGACTATACTACAGAAAGTTCTTTCAGTCCTACAATCATAAGTTATATAAGGAAAAAAGAAAAAGAGGAAAATAGAGATCAGACATAAATGGTTAGCGGTATTTTTTATACTTCTATAGTTATATTGATCTGATTTATCGTCATCAAATCTATCTTGGTACAGGTTTGCTGGATATGAATAAATTATTAATTTAAATTAGCTATAAACAGATGCAACGATATGACATGGACGTAGATAAATGTGATTATGGTAAGGAATAACGTTAATTTAAAGGTTTCATGATACTGTATACCTATCGTCAATTTTTTCTGTACAGTGTCTGGGAAACAATAAGATAGAAGGAAAAGAGAATTTTTATCTGAATGAAAGTCTCTGAGCCAAAAATACTGCGATTTTTGATTTGGCTTTAAAGACATCAAAGCATGAATTTAAATTTTTAATCAATATTTATCCTGCCTCTAAAGATGGATTGGATATCCTGATCTCTACGGTAAAGAAGTAAAGTTATGAATACTTAAATCTATTTCATTCGTACTAGTATGGCATATTAATTCTGAAAATGATATTGCACAAGTACAGTACAAAAGCATCTGTACTATTTCCTCCTCGTTAAAAACTTGACACTTAGACCGAGAAGTAGGAATATTTATTGGTTTCGTTTGATCGACATTTTGTAGGTTTCTCTAACAAAAATTCTACCTTTTTTTTTATACATGTTTATTAGAATAGCTTGATAACACGAATGGTATAATAAATTTACGCTCATGTGATCGAAATACTGTCTATGCATCAAAAGAATTCCAATTAAATGGCTTATTTTCATTGTGACCAAATTGAATTAAGGCAGGAATAAAAGATAAAATATATAAAGCAACGTTGAATAGATTAATAAGGCGAAATAAGAAACAAAAGAAGGACTCGTGAAAAAAATTTAACTATTTATTCATCCACCTTTACCATTCCTGCCATTATAACACTCAACGAGCGACATTCGATTAGTATAAAACTAATGCGTCCAACTCTAAAACATTCTTTTCAGTTTGTCTATCGATTACGATTTTGATGGTAAAAAATTTGTTGTAACAATCTAACTAAGAATCAGTATGGATGGGAGCATCGGCACTAGTATGGCTTCAAGGAAAACAACTGTTAGTAAGAATGGCCTGTATCAAAGTATGACATTCGTATTTGCACTTCAAATTATAGGCTATAGTTTAATATTTGTATTTTCCATCTTTAGTAATGTATTGATATGCATTGTGATTTTACGTAAAAAAATACCCCATAATTTTACTAATTGGAATATCTTTAACTTGGCAGTAGCCGATATCTTGATTACGCTAACTATTCCATTCGCTGCTTATGAAAATTTTACCAATAAATTTATCTTTGGTCAATTTTTATGCAAAGTAATTTATAGTACACGCAATATTGCTATCTATATGTCATGTTTAATTTTGGTCTTCATTAGTTACAATCGCTTTCGTGCGGTAACTTTGATTAAACAGCAACAAACTGTTTACAAATATACTATATTAACCACATTGATAGCATGGATTATTGCAATTATTGCTACTTTGCCTCAAACAATCATCTTGACCGTAAATATAAATGGATCTAAAAACGGTACTCGTTGCCGTGAAGATTGGCAAAATCAAGACCTTCGTATTGCTTATGGATTTTTTCTATTGATTACCTTCTTTTTAATTCCTTTTGCGGCCATTTCTTGTTGTCATGTTTTGATAGGTTGGCGACTATGGCATAAAACTCATCCATTAAGTGGTCGAAGTAAGATCGTCCATCAAAAAAAAAAGAAAATTGTGTGGATGTTAGTCATCGTAGTTACGGCATTTTTTATATGCCACTTTCCACCTAATGTTATCTTTTTACTTTATGAATTGAATCTTATTACTTGGGCGACAGACATAGCTATTTTGACATCAATAACTTACTGGCTAGGCTATTCACATTCACTATGGAATCCCGTTATTTATGGCGCATTGAATAAGACAATGCGAGATGCAATCTTGGGCACCGTTTTTGAAGTTAAAAAGACCAGTGCTAACTACGTCAGGCGATAATTTAAAACTGCAACATTATTTCAATATTTCCAAACATTAACAATTGGTTCAGCTTTGAAGCACCAATATTTTCGTTTTTATGCATTTGATGTTGTTTATGTTATTCTTGTTAAGCTTTGGTACTAAAATAATAAGTTCAATCTATTTAAATTAAAAGTTGATCCTAGGAAAGACAGGTTCAATCAAATGGATTACATTATCATCCTGTTTACTGCATGTATATTCGATTATATACCTCTATTGTTATAACAAATCAAAAAGTGTGATTCCTTCCTTTCAATTTTGGTGAAATAGTCATTTAAATTCATTAATAAGGGAGAGAATTCGTAAAAACTGAAGGTTTATAAGATACGTTCACTGGATAATATTTGGTTAGATTGAAAGACAAGATCTTATGGACAAAATTTCATTATCACAATATAAACTTTATCACATGATCTCTTATACTGATGGAACAACAAAATTATACTGTTATCCCTTTAAGAAGAAGAAATTTTGTTCATTTCCCCCAAATTTTCTATACTTGTATATCCAAATAGCCTTGTATTTGCTATTAAAATGGTAGTGATTTAAACTAGGGCTAAAATGACGCACCTTTCGCTACAATTAGAATACCTGTAGCAATATCGTATCTCGCTAAAAAATAAGTTACAGTTCTTGTGAAGAACGAAAATTACGATTTACACCTATTACTATTAAATCTAAGAAAAGTCTTAACAGTATTGAGGGACAACGGTCGTTCGTAAACCGGACAGAAAGGAGAAAAGCATCAATTATATTATCAGCTTATTTTTTGCTATTTAATAAGCCAAGTTGAATATAGCACGAATGCTAATGCAGGAAATATACTGGCAATTGTTGATAAGCAAAGTTGATTTCTTTTTAAAAGAAAAGCCTACATCATACGATCGCATCGATATTATATAAACTAGCACTAGATATGACGTATTTCTGCGGTATTGATAAATTTAATACGGCCACTTTCGTTTGCCCGTTTCATGGCAAGTTTAATTTACTCAGAATATTCATAAGTAATCACATGGCGGATTAATGAATTTGATCCCGCAATATTACTCCATAAAATATTTCTAAAATCAGATTAACGGCTACTGATGCGATGAATAAAATGAGTTATTCTACAATATGGTAATGCTCTAGGCCTCAATTTGATGAATGATAATTAAATTAATATCCTGCTCACTTTGTTATGCCTCTTAAAGAATCATTTATTTGACTAATTTTAGTTCAAAGCAAAATTACTTATACTTCGCAAAGCATGTTGAAAAATCAAAAACCGCCTGCAATAAAATTAATATAATTAGCAGATAGAATCTGAAGAGTTAAAAACATTGCTGGTAATGGCTTGTCTAGCGATAGCCAGTACGGTGCAGCAAGTTATTAGAAGCACAAATCGTAACTATAATTATTATTTGGATTAAGACTACCATAAAAATAATGCTATTTCAAGCATGCTTCCTAATACTCTAGTATTCTAAGCTAAATAAAAATGAATCCAGCTTTCAATATTCATATTGTTATATTGCTATTGGGTAAATGTTGAGAATTTCCAATAATTTTAATTTTGTATTCCCAACGCTTATTTGTAATAAGCAAAGGTTCGATATATTAAAGTATATTATCCATTTCGTAGAAATAGTAATCAGTATTTTGTGTTATACGGTACCAATTAAATTGAGCTCACATTATCTACGTCTTACTCGAGATATACGACAGTTACATGTAAGACTAATTTAACTAATAATTAGTGTAAATTGTAACACCTACCGTACGGCACATACTGTAATTCCCTTTTGAAACTAGGATAGACAATATCATACATTCGATTACACAATTACTTATCCATTATAGTCACTGCATCTGTACTAAATAAAATAGAAATAGAAAATATTCGCTAAGTTAGTATCGTACTATTTCAAGAAGGATTGCTAGTAATTTTTCAGAATCATATCCTATCAAATTCTATTAAAGTCATTCCTGAAGAAAAGTGAATAAATTTGATCAAACCTAACGTTAACACTTTAGGCTATTCATGAAATACCATGATCAATCTTTAATTCTAAAGTATACGGAAAATTTGAAAGTATTATTTAAATACAGAGAATTCAAACTACTTTATCCTTTCATCATCGTATGACATAAGTTACAATATATGCCGTATATTGCATCTACACTACTTCATAGATATAATCCCCAAACCATTAGAAAATATAAATAAATTAAATTTTAAAATAATGATCAGATTCCACCTCATTTAAATTAAGTACATCAATAATATTTGTAGTTTATATACTTTAGATATAAAGATGATACCGTAGTATTAATAATTCAAGATACAGAATGAAGCGTTCGTAATAAAGCGATGTTTTGATATTTTGATCGTGGATCATATGATTACAAATATAAATAAGTTAAATATTGTAATATAATATTTCGTAAAAGTTACTTATAATAAACAGTATCTTCCTTGATTAAAGTTCACTAGTTAAACAAGTATGTGATTAGAAAGGATATATGTACGAGCATAGCCGCTTGATAGAAGACATTAAGTTTGGTATGAATTATTATTAGTTGTTTTGTTATAGTAAAGTAGCAATATGTTCGATGCCACTGCCATGAATAATTGATATAGACCAGAAGTGGTGCGAAAATAGAATTATGTATGAGTATATTTTTGTGTTTATCAGCTTGTCGAAGCCTACCTTGATACTTATATAATGGTGTCACAAACCAGCTTCGTGGCAAAGATAACGTAAAACAAATCTCTAAATTACTATAGTCTCCGGGATTCAGTATCCCTTAGCTACCTCACAAAAATTTAGAAGCCTTTGCTTCTACGTTCAAATAAGTATGTAACTCTTTTTTATTCAATTATCTGCCGAGCTTAAGCACCCTTCGGCAGCAGCTATCATGTATGCGTCGTAACAGTTCATGAAATTTAGCTCATTATACCGTATTAGTTTTTGATTATAATGCAATAATGTACGTGTTAACTTCTAAATTTCGAGAATAATAACGGTACATAAATGAGTTTTAATCTATAATATGGATTGCATGGAATCCTTGCTATATGCCAAATAAACTGTAATAACAGTATTATCTAGAATGTCGCTACAGACGATAGACTACTGAACTAGCATTGCGATGTATTAATTAAAGATTCAAAATTATATCGATGGTGAACTTGCTTTGCTGCTATACTTTAATATTTTTTATATTAACAGAATAGCAAGATGTTGTCTAGTCCAATACCAGTGTTTACAGTTTAGATTATGAGAAAATTTTTTATCTTAATTTTGTTTTATTACTTGTGCGGGACAAAAATGATGATTACTAGAAAATGATAATTTCACGTATAGAGGATTGTTAACATTACTTTGTGACATGGAATTATTGTAATAAAAGTTATCAGACCTTACATCAATAACAAAACTAATATTATTCGTTCTATACAGTGTCCACTGTAGTAATAGCAGTAACAGTAAAAAATTCATTTCTCTCTGATTATCTTACATCAATTACACAATAGTGTTCATTTAATTTCCTTAGATCACTATACTTAATGTAGCAGATCTTGTACATCTGCTGATAATTAAAATCTAAATTTCCTTCTTCAAACACATTATTTTACTTCCATAGCATTGACTCCTAACTATCTGAGAACTTATATTTTAGTTAGACAATTAGAATATCCATTTAAATTTTAATGAAATGGTTTGTATATTTTAATATCGTCTTTGAGTAATTAAGCAATCCATGTCAAGTGAAATATTATCGTATTTGATCATTTTTCTACAAATCTCTTAGAATTATTTACGATTCAGTACTTTAATTAATATCAAAGAGATGCGAAGATATCAATCAATTAAAAACGACATCTTTAACAACTACTCTTCTCCTTTAAATAAATCCTCATATTCTAATAAAGCAATCCTTTTAAAACATCTGCGAAATTATTTATCGGCAATGTCAATAGAATGTCAATTTAAAGCTAAAAGAACGTTAATATGACTTTATTTGTACCTGATTAATCGTTCAGTGCTCTTTGAGTAAATATGCTGATTAATTGTACAGATTTTTAAAATTAGTTACAATGCATTATTTCCGCTTAACGTTGAAAAAATATTAAAAATATTTATCAATTAATTAGAACATCTGTCTGTCCAAAGCATTGAGCAGTCGTCTTTCGTTAGATAAACATTCTTATACTAATAGCATAAATTCTTTTTCATTTATCTCGAAGTTTATAAATTAGTTGCATTGATGAAATTTCAATTCTATAAGTATAAAGTAATGAATGTAATTCAGCAGGTTACCTACATAATCAAGCAATATTATGCAGCATTGGGAAGCATCTAATCATTTATTAGAACTTCTTCGATACTGCATTTTATTATGTTCGCTGCTTTTATTCTATTGCATATTAATAAGAAAGCAATAGTAAGATAGTAACAAATCAAGCTGGTATTTTCACTTAGCAATCTGTAGATGAATTTAACCTAATTTACCTTGATTATCCTAACAATTTTGCGCCAATTGAGACAACAACCTGCTCTTCTAACGTGAACTATTTATTTTTTAATTTACAATTAATAGTAATTAGCAAAATAAAATCAAACTACATCAGCTAGGCTATGTTGCTTTGAGTCTTAATCCTGACATACTTAATATTCCAGTTATTTCATTGCTAAATACTATCCAATCTGCGATTTTGTGGAAACGTGTTCTCGCGACAACCATCAGCTGCGCAATAAGATAAAGTTATGTTCGCTGCTATCAACAAAATCTTTCTTTGCCTGTAACTGTTAGCTTAACTGCGAATTTGCAGCATCAGTTGAAGCAGATCTAGGAGGAGGAGGAGGAGGAGGTAAGCCAAGAATGGGTTTTATTGGCTTCATTTATCAATCTAGCCAGAGTTTCTAAGATTAAGGAGTGATATCCTTTTTATTATATAAGAAACATCATGGAGAAAATGGAGTAGT